GGTAAGTCCCTGGACCTGCAGATACCTGCAGCTATCTCCGTATCCCACCCGTGTGTTCTTTCCCCCCACAGATTGCTGTGATGCAGAAGGAGCTGGAGGTGATGGTACCCCAGCTGGACGAGAAATCGGACATGATGAAGTCGCTGCTCGCGAATCTTACAACGGAGACCAAGCAGGCGGACACCGTCAAGCAGGGCGTCATGGAGGACGAGGCCAATGCCAAGGAGAAGGCGGCCGTGGCCCAGGCCATATCCGAGGATGCTGGCAAGGATCTGGAGATTGCAATGCCGGCACTGCGCGAGGCCGAAGATGCCTTGAAGGGCCTCACCAAGGCGGACATCAATGAGCTAAAGTCCTTCACGACGCCGCCAGCGCTGGTGCAGTTCTGCATGGAGGCCGTGTGCATCCTACTGGGCGCCAAGTGAGTATCATATTCGACACAGAAAGAGAGAGAGAGTGGTGATTCTAGGGACTCTCTCCTCCCACTTGCAGACCCACTTGGGCATCGGCCAAAGCCATTATGGCGGACATTAACTTCATCAAGCGGCTGTTCGAATACGACAAGGAGCACATGAAGGACGATGTCCTGAAGAAGGTCAAGAAGTACATCGATCACAAAGACTTCAATCCAGCCGTAAGTACTCTTTCGGTTCTGCGACTAATCTGTCTCAGTCCCATCCTTATCCAAATCCAAAGACAAAAGTAAGACGAGTAACGCCCATACATTTCTATGGTACACGATTTTGTCAGAGTCATAAATCCATCCCGTCTTTGGCTGATGCTTCTGTTCTCCCAATATTATCTTTTATAGAAATTCGAAAAGGTCTCGAAGGTGGCCAAATCGGTGAGCATGTGGGTGATCGCGATGGACAAGTTCTCGAAGGTCTACAAGGTGGTGGAACCAAAGATCAAGCGCAAGGAGGCCGCCGAATCGGAGCTCAAGGAGGTGATGGTCGTTCTCCGGCAGAAGCAGAAGGAGCTGGCCGCCGTCGAGGCCAAGATCCAGACGCTGCGCGACAGCCTCGACGAGAAACAGCGCGAGTTCCAGGTGATCCAGGACAATGTCGATCTCACCTACGGGCGCATCAATCGCGCCGGTCGCCTCACCTCCGCCCTGTCCGACGAGCAGGTCCGCTGGCGGGAGACGGTCAAATCGCTGACTGCGGATCTGGCCTGTGTCCCCGGGGATGTGCTTGTGGCGGCCGCCTGTGTGGCCTATATGGGGGCATTCTCGCACGAGTATCGGCGCGACATGGGGGCCCTGTGGGTGAGCAAGTGCCGCGAGAATAAGATCCCCTCCAGCGGCGAGTTCAACCTGCTGAAGGTCCTGGGCGATGCGTACGAGATGCGGCAGTGGAATGTGGACGGGCTGCCCAAGGATAACATCTCCATCGAGAATGGCATCTATGCGACGCGCGCCTTGCGCTGGGCTCTGATGATCGATCCCCAGGAGCAGGCCAATCGCTGGATACGCAACATGGAGAAGGATAACAACCTCCAAGTGGTAAAGATGACCGACTCAACCATGATGCGCATCCTGGAGAACAGCGTGCGCCAGGGCTATCCGGTGCTGCTCGAGGAGATAGACGAGACTATCGATCCGGCCCTGCGGCCCATCCTGCAGCGCGAGACGTACAAGCACGAGGGACGCATCTATCTCAAGCTGGGCGACCAGGTCATCGACTACGATGAGAAGTTTAAGCTCTACATGACCACTAAGCTGCCCAATCCCCACTACCTGCCCGAGGTGTGCATCAATGTGACGCTGGTCAATTTCCTGGTCACCGAAAGCGGCCTCGAGGATCAGCTTCTAGCGTGAGTATCCATCCCCTCCCCCCAAAGCCACTTGCACTATGTAAGGTCCATTCCCTCTTTCCAGCGACATTGTGGCCATTGAGCTGCCTGCCATGGAGGCGCAACGCAACGATCTGGTAGTGAAAATCAATGCCGACAAGCAGCAGCTGCTCAGCCTCGAGGACAAAGTGCTGAAGCTGCTTTTCCACTCAGAGGGCAACATCCTCGATGACGAGGAGCTGGTGGAGACCCTCAACGATGCCAAGGTGCGTCGCTTGATAATCCCTTCTTTTAGATCCCAAATGACCCGTTCTTCTGCCGGCAGGAAACATCCCTCATCATTGCCACTCGCCTGATCGACACCGAGGAGACGGAGAAGATTATCACAGCGTCGCGGGAACGCTACCGCATTTTGGCCTCACGCGGGGCCATTCTCTACTTCGTGGTGGCTGGGCTGGCCGAGATCGATCCAATGTACCAGTACAGCCTCAAGTACTTCACACAGGTCTTCTGTAATGTCCTGCGCCTAGAGCACCCCGTGCAAACCGTGGAGGTGCGCATCTCCGTCCTCATGGTGGACGAACTGAAGGCCATCTATGACAACATATCGCGTGGCCTGTTCGAGAACCACAAGATCATTTTCAGCTTCCTGCTGGCCCTGTCCGTGGAGCGGCAGGAGAAGCGCGTCTCCGATGACGAGTTCGGCTTCCTTACCCGCGGCGCCGTCGGAAATATCCGGCCCAAAAAGCAACCATCGACCACAAAGCTCAGCCAGATGGAGTGGGATGCCTGCATCTACCTGGAGGACAACTTTCCGGACACGTTCTCGGGCTTCAGCAGCGAGATTGACAAGCCCTTCTTCATACAGCTGCAGGACAACAAGGAGATCTTCGACTTTGCCAAAACAAAACAGCCGCCCACGGACAAGTGGGACAAGAGGCTGCGCATCTTCCACAAGCTCATGTTCATCGCCATCTTCCGGAAGCCCCGATTCCTGCTGAATGTTGTCAGCTATCTGCATGCCACCGTTGGCCGGTACTTCACCGAGGTCTCCGCCACGGGAACACAACTGAGCGCCGTGTAAGCTATCACCCTCCATTGCTATCCGTTGGATCCACTTGTTAATGATGCTCCCTTTCTTGGCAGCTTCCTGGACACCTCCGAGGTGACGCCGCTGATCTTTGTGCTGTCCACGGGCTCCGATCCGATGTCGGGCTTCTTAAAGTTCACGACTCAAATGCAGTACACGGAAAAGTACTATTCGATATCGCTGGGGCAGGGCCAGGGCCCGGTGGCCGAGAATCTGATTGACAAGAGCCTGCGCATGGGCCACTGGGTCTTCCTGCAGAACTGCCACTTGGCCACCTCGTGGATGCGCACCCTGGAGACGATTGTGCGCAACCTGTCGCTGGGCATCACCAAGTCGCATCCCGAATTCCGGCTCTTCCTCTCATCTATGCCCATCAAGGAGTTCCCCATCAGCGTGCTCCAGAACTCGGTGAAGATCACCAACGAGCCCCCCAAGGGGATCAAGGCGAATGTGATTGGAGCATTGGCTGACCTCAAGCGCGACTTCTTCGAGCAGCACATCCAGAACGGCAACTGGCGGGCCATCGTCTTTGGGCTCTGCATGTTCCATGCGGTGCTACTGGAGCGTCGCAAATTCGGGCCACTCGGCTGGAACATCATGTACGAGTTCAGTGAGAGCGATCGCGAGTGCGGCCTCAAGACGCTCGACTTCTTCATCGATCGCGAGGTTGCCGACGACATACCGTGGGAGGCGATCCTCTACATCAACGGAGAGATCACCTGGGGCGGCCGTGTTACCGACTACTGGGATCTCCGCTGTCTGCGCACGGTGCTCATGATCTTTTCCTCGAAGCGCATCATCCAGCCGGAGTATAAGTACTGTCGGGGCGACGCCTACTATCGGGATCCGCGCAAGAAGACGCTCGCGGAGTACACGACCTTTGTGCAGGGCTTCCCGGTACTGGAGGATCCGGAGATCTTTGGCATGAACCAGAACGCCAATATCGTATTTCAGACCAAGGAGACGGACTTCTTCATCAGCACCCTGCTGCTGGGCCAGCCCCGCTCATCCGCCGACGAAGGTCAGGCGGCGGAGAATGACATTTGCCTACAGGTGATTGCCCGCATCCAAGAGGCCCTGATCAGTAAGATCAAGCGCGAGCCCATCCACGACACCCTCTCGATGGTAGGTTGTGAAGTTTCCTCCCTCTCGTGGATGCAACATGAAGCAGATATTTCTGATCTTTATACTTGCAGCTGGACAGCAAGGGACAGGTGCCGTCGCTGACAACGGTGCTGGTGCAGGAGATCGATCGCTTCAACATTGCGCTGGGCATCGTCCACGACAGCCTGGTGAATCTGGCCAAGGCCATCAAGGGTCTAGTGGTGATGTCCGAGGAACTGGAGAACGTGTTCAAGGCGCTTCTGGCCAACCTGGTGCCAGCCTCCTGGGCCAAGCGAAGTTTCCTCTCGGTCAAGCCGCTGCCGAACTATATCACGGACTTTCAGCGACGCATCGACTTCATCCAGCACTGGGCGGAGAACGGGGCGCCGCGCTCCTACTGGATTAGTGGCTTCTTCTTTCCCCAGTCCTTCCTCACGGGCGTCCTGCAGACGTACGCCCGACGCCGGGTGCTGCCCATCGATTCGCTGAAGATCGACTTTGACATTGTCGAGCGGGAGCTGGTGCAGCAGGACTTCTTTGAGGCCCACAATGCGAGCAGAAGTGTAAGTGTATTTTTCCTCTAAAAAGGATCCCTTCCCTATATATACTCTGGTATCCTCCCTGTAGGACGAACTCTTGTATGGCAATATAGAGGAATGCACCGATGCCGTCATCAACGTCCACGGGATATTCATCGAGGCCGCCCGCTGGGACCTCAAGCAGGGCGGCCTATGCGATGCCAAATTCGGGGAGCTGTACACCCGCCTACCCGTCGTTCGGTTCATGCCCTGCCTGGAGATCTCACCGAAGGTGCGATACGAGGCGCCGCTCTACAAGACCCAGCAACGATCCGGTGTCCTCTCCACCACCGGCCACTCCACGAATTTCGTATTATCCATCCTTTTGGACAGCCACAATGATCCCGAGTTTTGGGTGATGCGTGGCACAGCCCTTGTTTCGGCTGTCGTCGAGAATGTTTCCTAAAGGAAGGCGGGGAGTCTCTTTGTCTATGTTATTTGCTGCATCGCCCTGGGGCGTCGTTTATTTTGTTACTCTGTTACTCGCATGCGCTCTCTCTCTCTCATGCTGTTGTGTGTTTTTGTGTGTGTGCGTGTGTGTGTGTCGTATGTGTTTTATGTACAATAAATGTTCTTAAGATTATGATCGAAGGGCTTTGTTTCGGGAGAGGCTATATACCATCTCTAGTACTATCCATCTAGACATATCCTTTTTGGTTCGCTTTTTTGTTCGATTATATATAGAATATTTAATCTACGATACAAATGAGGGAGCAGCAGCTCAAAATGCGAGCAAGTTTATGGCAAACAAAAAATAGAGAAAAATCTCTTAATTTTACATTTAGAATATAAGATATAGTATGTTATATCATACGATATATGTATAAGTACAATACAAAACGTTGCACGTTCCCAAGTCTGTTTTTTTTTCTTGTGAATATTAATATTACTTTTTTTTTAACAAAAATAACCTTTGAAAACTATAGTTAACCACTAGATTATCATTCCACCTCATTCAGAATAATCCAAAAACAGCACACACACACAGACACAGACTTTACCGATATACGCGATATATGCAGTATATATGTATGTATATACAATATTTCTTTTGGTTTCCTTTGATCTCTTGCAGTTATTGTATATAAAACGAAACACTTTTTGGGGATAGACAGATAACAGATAACGGGTTAACAGATAACTAAATTGACTAACGGTAAACGATATACGATATATCTGATAGATAAAGGAATGTCTTTTTGAGGGGCGGGGAAATTGGATTAGATTGGTTGGGGATTATATAGTTTTGTTCGCCTTTTCTAAGTACTAATACTGCCGCATCTTCTCCGAAATTTGGCTTGAAATCATGAATTGGGAATGGTTAGGTATATGGATTACAATAGGTTGTAGGAGGTTCCTTTGTTAATTAGCAAACGGGTAAATGGAATGCTAAATTAGTTGGATATTCTTATAAACTAGTTATTGCTGGACATCTCTCTCGCTATTTCTTATGTTCTCTTGCGTGTTCGCGCTTAAGTTTGGGTTTCCGTTTCCTTTCGTTTCGTTTAAGTACACTTAACGTAACCTAAGTAAAATAGGGTATAGTATAGTACAAATTAGCTAAACAATGGGCACAAAAAAAAGATAAACAAAAAAAAGGTCGATAATAGTATTAGAATTATCGTTAGACCAGAGTCGTAACACCACATTCTCAGAAATCGTTCAATGGGAAGCACAATGTGGTCGAGGCGTTGGCGTAGGTCTGCCTATAACTTTTTGCTATCGATATCTATCCGAAGATCGGGCATCGAGCCGCGCGGCTGCAGGAGACTCCGCTTCTCCGGATCCTTGATCTTCTTCGGCTTGGGTCGGTTCGTCTTCGTGTAGCGATTGATCACCCCATCCGACTCATCCATCATCCGCAGTATGAGCGCCTGATCGGAGGAATCGAGCGGCGCAATCGAAATGTCACGCACCGCTCGGAACTTGCCGCAATTGTTTAGATGCTCGTTCTCCAATCGAAAGAAGTTCCACACAAATCGACTACAAAAAACAAAGAAGAGCGCAATGATTAAGGGTCAATGGTTTCCCTCCATATAATCATCTGTGCGTACCGGAAGACCTCAAGTATGCCCGTAATGGAGGTCATAATATCGCCGCTAACAATCTTCATCTCTGTCAGATAAAATGAAAGCACCCAAATGAATCGCAGGGCCAGATCCTCAACAATTGCAAAATAGTAGAAGCCCTAAAACCGAAATTAATGATACATTTTGTATTTAAAAGGGGAGTGACACTCACCGTCGAGGAGTAGACAACCTCTTCCCGCAGAAAGGTATTCTCGCCGGCGTTCTTGTCGAACAGGCCCCAATCCATCTTGATGTCCCACGTGTAGGCATAGCAGGAGGACACTATCGAGGCGATTATCCAGAGCCAGGTATACGGATTGTCGAATGTGCTGGTATAGTTATCTAAAAACAGGGTAAATAGATCAGAAATTAGACAGAAAGATCTGCAGATTTGTATATACAAACTCACGGCTGTGGAAAGACTTGAGGGTGGCAAAGATCACGACCAGGAACGTGGTCGAGTATTTGCCGGCATTCACCAGATGGGGAAAAGCCTCCCGCGAGTCGCGATACCGTCGCAGGCATTGGGCGAAACGGAACCATGCCGGCAGACAGTTGACAATCGGCCGGATGATGTAGTCCTTCTCCATGCAGATGGAGGCATCCTTGGCCTCCGACCAGTTGCCGTTGGTGAAGTAGAAACAGATGAGATACTCATAGTCCAGTATGGCGGTGGCCAGAGAGTTTAGCTGATCGCCCAGCCAGAAGTCGGCGAAACCCACGTGAAAGAATGGCGCCGAGATGCAGCGTCCAGTGATCCGCCACAGCCAAAAGCGAGCATCGTGATGCAGCACATGGAACGGATTGGCCAGGAAGAGCACCATGATCAGGGTGAGTGTCAGCGGATTGATAAACGCCGGAATCGCCAGACTGGCGCTGTACAGGAAGCTCAGCATGCTGAGCGTCCACACCACACCAAAAATGGCCGCCAGCTCCATGAGATGCTGCTCGGAGAGATGGTTGCGTGGATCCAGCTCGAAGATGAGCACATGATTGACCCCCGATGACCGCCAGCCGTAGATATTCACGCCGATCAGGAAGATGAACTCGATGATTAGCAGGGGGCCGCGATAGAGGCGGAATGTGACCTTCAGGTTCTCCCCGCTGATCTCGTGGAAGATAGCCGAGAGCACCACCACAATGCCCAGGACAATGAAGCTGCCGGAGAAGAGGCCCACCTTGAAGGTTGTCCACGGACTCTGCTGCTCCCCCAGCGGCGGTACGCGCAGCCGTTTCATCGCCCGCTGGCGATCGCCGCCCTCCAGCTCGCCGGTGACCGTCGTCTCCGTCTCATTGATTATGTTGTCGATGTCTTTGTTGGTGAAGAAATGCGACGCCTCCACGTACTCCTGACGCCACTTAGCGCCAGTATCAACGCGTAACAGCTGCGCCGCCGCAAAGAGAAGATAAGATTTGGGGGTCAGAGATGGTCAAGGTTCATGGTGCCAAGAGGCGCTTCTGGCTCTTGCTCTTGCAACTCTAGAGGAGTGTAGGTCAGTGCTCACCTTGTCATGCTTCTTGAGTATTTTACGGAAACCAGTGTGGTTCAGATTCTGATAGTTCTGCAGGAGAATGAGGCTCAGATAGAACTCGCTGAAGGCCAACTTCAGTTCGCGGGCCTTGCGATCGGGCAGGGCGGCCAGACGCTTCTGTCCCTTTGACTTTTTGGCACTACGCTCGGACTCCTCGATGCAGGTCTTTAGCTCCGCATTCAGATTGGCAAACTTGCGTGTGGCCTCCGCCAGCTTTTCCGAGTAGAAGGTATTGATCTTCTTGAGCTCCTTGTCGCAGTAGTGAAAGAAGTTCTCGTCGAAGTTGGCAAAGTGACGCTTCAGCACATCATCCTCGACACTCTCCACCGAGGGGGCCTCCTCGACGGCCAAGTACAGCATGGCCTTCATTTCCTACGAGGTAATGCGGGAGTTTCGTTTCATTTGGTGATTCCCTCTCAAATTATGGATTAAAAGACGACTCACCTCATAGTTGATGTACTGCTTGCGCCACTCGGGCGTTATGTGCGCCGACAGATGCTCGGCAAACTTCATGGCTCCGCCGGTTTAGGGTTTGCCTTTAGTTAAGACTCCAAGGATTGTCTCCTTCCTCAATGGAAATGCGTCTGCAAGTGCAAAAAAAAAGGAGGCATAATTTTAGGGGAAATATTCTCTGCTTTTGATTTCCCTATATTCCCTATATTCATAAATTCCCTATATATTATTCCAGTTTCATCTTCAGTTTTCATTAATATCAACCACTGGAGGTATTTTCACTGTCCCTGAGTTCCGTGGCAGCCATTTGGATCGTCTCTTTTCAAGTGTAAACGCAATTTAACGCCCCGATGGCCATACTAATGGGGGTGGGGCATGTCTATCCGTGATCAAGCATACACACATACATATATCTAATCCATAGTATCTGGGGGGACTGGGGTATTTGCTTAGAAGCGATTTAAGCAAATTGGTTTACAAACGCCTCAATCCGACGATTGCCCCCACAATTGGCCCCGGCAATGACTTCCCCTCCCACCCCTACTCCTTCCTTTACGTACGTGTGTATGTCTGTGTGTGTGTGCACCTGAATGATAAGCCCCCCTCCGCAATCTCTTTACAGAATTATTGTGTAGTATCTCATTAACGTGGCCCGAATAATAAGCTAAGTAAATTGGAAAATTTTCGTCGCAAAAGCAAACACTATAACAAAAAAAATAAAAATAAACTCGAAAGATGGCAACATTTTAATCAATTGAATAAATATTGCGTCAAAGCTCTCGCTTCCCAATATCTCCCTTAACTCCAGTGGAGACTAGAGTACCGTTTATGTGGTCATTCCCCTTTGTTTCCAGTGGAAGCTACATAGATCCCCCACCTATTATGGCAGCGGAGGCTAGATCCCTTTCTGGTGCAGCAGGCTACAGTTCCTGCTCTTAATTTCCCATTTTCCCATAGTGGAGTGCAGGGTAGGAGTCAGTTTCTGTTTTTAATTATTTTTATCGGGGGCTGGAGTCCGTTCTCGTTCCCATTCTCCCCCCTTCCATTGGAGGATGGAGTGCCGTTATCGGTTTACTTCCTTCCAGTGCACGCTTCAGTCCGTTCCCCTTCCTTTCTTCTTCATTTTCTTCTTCTTGAACGGAGAGAACGCGAAGCGAAACGAACAAAGAGTGGGCTTAACACTGGAGGTGATAATTGATGGCAGGGTCAGTCATTCAGTCAGCCCCTGTGGAAGCCGCTGTCTGTTGGTCAATTAACGTCAATGGTCAATGGTGGTGTTTATATATAGACCCGCGACGCTGATTGATTAGAGCACTCGTCGAATAGTAACAGCTGATCGATCATCGATTCTCATTCAGCTTGCCGATTTAAAGGCGGGATTTAAACAGTTATCCGAACAATGCATAACAGAGTGCTCTCGTCCCTTATCGCTTCGCACCCCTCTCCCCTTGTTTACAGATTTCTCCTTTTCGGGCGGTTTAATTGCCACTGATAACGATACAGTTATACAGTTAACCGTATCAAACATGTGTGTGCTGCCATCGTAGCAACAACAGCGGCGGCAGCAGAAGCAACTAAAATTGACACACAAAGCCCCACACCCGCCTCTTCCCCCTTCCGCCCTCTCCAACCAACGAGACACATCGACACACACGCACAAACACACGTACACGAACGACGCAAATATTTGATCAATAAAAACAAAACACGAAAGTAAAGAATGGCACACACAAAAACTTTTAACTGTGCAGAATTGTCCGAAAGTCGTTTTTGAAAGTCTGTCTCCTTATTATCTGGAAATTTGATGATGCTTTTGTTGGTTTATGTCGTTGTTTTTGTTCTTGATACGCGATTCATTCAAACGATGAGTGACAGTGGGTCAGAGCGCCAGCGCAGCGTTTCTCTAAGCAATTGATGAAAAACCGAAAACCAATTGAAGGCCATTTAGCCATAGATTAACCGAAGAATGAGGGGAATAGTCTTTCAATTACATAAAATGACATGTGTACATACATATACGCTGCTGCTGCTGCCTGATGCTGCTTCGGCTGCAGCTTGCAGTTACAGTGCAGTGGGCAGCGCTGCAAAGAGTGGCAATGGCCAATGGTAGAAGGGGTGCTCTATCCGAATTTTGTACAGAATTCGTTGCAGCAGCTCATTGCTATATATATAGACGGATTTTTGGACGAATGGATGTCTCTCAGCAGGCACCTGATCCACTCACAATCATTACTAATTGTCAACAGACACTGATTTATTAAGTAGAATGCTTATCATAGGGAAGCGCGCACACCCGAACACCTGCACACGAAGCAGACGACCATTACGACGGAATAACAACAACAAAGAGCCCACAACTGCACTTGTACCATATATCTGCTGCGGGTATTTCTGTTGGGACAATTATAACTATTTTGGAGGGAGAAGTGCAGTGGCAGTCGTTCGTCTCTTCCCGAATTTAAAACAAAATATCGCGAACCAAAATATCGCAACCCAAAAAATATCGCATTTCGACTAAAACAAACATGTTACTTATAACTGGTTTTGTCTGTCCTACAAATATTATTTACAGTGATAGAGCAACCGCGGAAGAGAGCGTAGCTTGCTATTACAAATTAAAAAAAACCCCTACTTAGCAGGCTAAAAAAAATGAATGGTGAAATATCGGCATGTAATGCTGTAAAATATCGCTTGCTCTCTCAGTGCTGTTAGACGCAAACTGCTAGACGCTCTGTTAACTGACGCAAACAAAGTACGACTCGGGCAGAAATTTCACATTTCACGCAAAACAAAACAAAACAAACAATTTTTGAAGGCAAACCAAGGCAGTTTCTGCTACTGCACTGACACGACCATGAGTACAACCTTTAAGAACATGAAACTGGCCCATTTCGGTGGTGGCGGAGCTGGAACCGTTGGCGGCAGTGGAGTTGCTGGTGGAAACATCGGCGGTGCCTTTGGAATGGCCATATCTGGCGGCGTGGCTGGTAAGATGCCCGTAAATGGCAGCGGTAGCGGAAAGGGCGCATCTGCGGCTGCCGCAGCCGAGTCGGAGGTGTTTCTCACGCCCAGCGGTGTCATCATACCCCTGATCCGTACCAGAGATATGCCAAAGAAGCTGCCCACCATGTCGGCAGCCCTACAGAGACCTTCCGATGACCATTTGTCGGCCGAAGATTTGGATGCAGTGCAACTCGAACTGGAGCAGCTACTCTCGAATGTGGCTCTACGTGCGCGCGTCCTCAAGGCCGAATACGACAGTGTGGACAAGGATGAGAAGCGCAACGATCGTCGCAAATTCGATCGCGTGCCTGGATCGCCGCCATGCACCAGCAACAACGCCATGCTAAACGCCATGCTGGGCATAGGAGTAGGCGGCGCCAGCGGCGGGTTGGGAAGTCCATCGGGCGTTTCGTCGAGTATGGCCAAGCGGAAGCGAGACGAGCCGACGGGCGTGCGCAAGAAGCACTCATCGATGACCATTCTGAAGGGCGGCCTCGGCCCGTCCGGCTCATCGAGGCACTCGAAGAACAGTCCAATGGCCGTGCACACAGACGATAGCATGGACTTTCTGCCGTCGTCGAACCTGATTCTGCCCATGCTGCCGCAGCTGCCGAAACTAGCGATGCCAAAGAACGATATGCCGAACAAGTTCTGGCTCTCGGTGGAGCCGTACTGCATGCCGGTGACCAATGAGGATCTACGCTTGATCGATGACCTCCTGGAGCAGTATCGCGGCCCGCTAGTGCCGCCTGTTCCCACTCTGGGGCCTCACTACTCCACCGTATGGGCGCTGGAGGACATGAAGGCCTTGCAGCCAGGCGGATCACGCGTCAAATCGCAGAATGCCTCGGCCATGGTGAAGAAGGGCGACGGAATGGTGGAGGAGAGCATCACGGGTCCCCTCACCCAGCGCCTTGTCACAGCCCTTATGGAGGAGTCCCTGCTGACGCTGCCCAGCGAGCAGGCGGCTGTGGGGGAGCACAGCAACAGCACCACAAGCAGCAGCAACGACAACTCCCACTCGCACTCCCATTCCCACTCGCACCTATCCTCCGCAAACTCGGGAGCTCCTGCAGCCATCGGCAACTTTCGACCCCTCTCCATGCTCAAGCACGGCGTAGGCATTGAGCAGCGCCTGAAGAAGGAACTGCTGGAGAACGGCCTGATGGATGCCAGCGACTGTGCTCCTCCCGAAGACACTGACGATGTGCTGCACGAGATCAAGCGCGTCACGGCAGAAATCAGCACCGTCTCCACATTCAACAGCGAGGAGCTGAAGCGCCTCCGGCTGGCGGCCAGCGACGAGATCAAGCGCATCGAGCTCAAGCGCAAGCTTGACATGATTGACACTGAGATACTCGAGTGCTACAAGCGAATGCTGCAGTATCGGGCGAAGCGCAAGGGACACACCGTCGAGGAGAAGCAGGAGATCTTACGCCTCACCAAAGAGCAGCGCATTCTGGCCGACCAGTTAGAGCGCATGAGCATTCTGCCGCCACTTGGCCCCTCCTCTTCGATGGACGGAAAATTGTAGGACAGGGGCATGGCCTGGAGCTGGTGCCAGCTGGTGGCCATGCATCGGGCAATCGGGCAAAATCGAGGAGATGTCCTCTTGCAGCTGCAATGTTTCTGAATCCCTCCCCCTCTTGGCTCCGACAGATTGTACATTAACAAACATACAGATATACTTATATATACATATTTATATATTGATTTCATGTAGAATATATATAGCTTAAAAGAAGACTCCTCTCATTCACTTCCACTTGCACACACACAAAAACACACACGACACTTTCTGTATAGCTTTAGTTATCGCGAAGGCAATAAAGAGTGTTACCCTTTTATCTAGAGATCCGCAGAGTCTGTATCGTATCTGTATCTTCGGATGTACCACACCGCGCTCAGCGAACGCTGCCTGAGCTTTGAGCTTAATGCCACCGACAGGGCCAGCGAAGAGGCCTCGCTCGCCCTCCGGCATCGGAAGCTGCTCCCATCTTTGTTTACCCTTTGCTTCGATAAGTTCGATAAGATTGGTAATCTTGCGGCTAATTAAATTCAAACAGTGCACAGTGTACACTGCCCTCCTTCCGTTCTATGGTGTTCGAACGGAAACGCAATCAGATTATAAATACATACTCGCATCGCTTAATTTTATTGCAGTCTCAAAAATACACTTCGGTATGAGGAAGCGTTAAGGTTCTTCATACAGTAAACATCCACTGGTAGCAGGTGGATGCGGTGGGTGGATGAATATATGTGTATACATAATTAGATATTTCGTTGTGGCTGTGTATTGTACTTCGTTTTGGCCGCGGTGCAGTGGCTTGGCATTTGTATGTACATATGTACTACGCGAATGCATTGAATGCTTTGGATAAATCCCGTCACAAACCCAATATTTGGTGTTACCCGCCGCTAGCTCCGGGCCCTCGCAGCAAACACTCCTCGGGATAAACGGCATTCAGGTCGGAGTGGTAGTAGATTGGTATGGCCGAGGATTCAGCTGCTTGAAGAAAGACAAACTCGGACGTTAACCAGCTCGAAAGGACATGGATATGGGACTCTCTCTCTCTCTCAATCTATCTCTCTCTCACCTTGGATTTCCAGACTCTCATCAAATATTGTGCTTAGAAACCGAATGGCACAAACCATGTGGCGCCTCAGATTGTCAACCAGCTCCTTGAGTATAATGTACGGATGAATAGTCGACGGTTATCCAGGCAGCATAACTGTCGTGAAATCCTTCGCAAATGTGTTGTGGTGCATGGGCAACTTTTGTGTCTAGGACAAGGACTAGGACTAGGACTAGGACACCACTGACTCTGGCATTGGCTCAAGTTCTAGCTCTGGTACTGATATTATGACCATCGCCTTTTTGCTGATTCATGCTTTCGCAATTTGCATTTTCATTGTGGATCCGCTGAGAGATATATCTAGATAATAATATTCGGCGCAAAATCATAATTGAGGAATATGGTTTCCAATCCTTGAAGGAGAACGATTAACCCATTCTAAGACAAGGGGGTTTTTTAATTTTTTACCGAAAATAATGAAAATTAAATCATTTTAGCGTAGTTCAGGTGAAAGATATCGTGTTTTTTTTAAGTTCAGAGAAAATATGGCATGGATCTACAAGAAGAATTCACAATCAGTAATATTTTTCGTCATTTACCTCAAGTCTTTGAACTGTTTAAATACATGGGGGTGAAGTGGGCTAAGCATCATACGAGACGCTATATTGTTGTTAAGGCACCAAAATGAAGGCAAAAACAAACTAAGCTATTGTCGTAGCAGGAAAACAAGTATTTAAAACAAGCCTGTCAAGTAGAAAATTGATTCATTTATCGGACAAAATTATGTGCCCAGGGCTGAGGGTTCTATCTAGCTAGTAACATTCGACGGAATATCAAAAACGAGAAATGTGTATAATAGAACTTGAAATCGTCAGTATATTTACGTTATATTTTTAGAATGAGACGGTATATTGTGATATTTTTCTGAGAGTCGGAGGGACAGTATATATATATATATAAATCGATAGGTCCAAGTTAAACTGATAAAGAAGCAACCGGTGTCTTTGGGGCTTGTCTGCTTTCACTTACGTTTCTCGCCTTGTTTTGAGCATTGCACAAAGTTCGCTGTAACTAATTAACGTTCTAAACCAATAAACAATATCAAAATGATCAAGGTATGCTCGTGTGTAATTTATGATGCACCCAGTCCCAATCGCATGAAGACAAGACTGGCCGGGTGCAAAGTCCAATGGGGATTTGAACCCGTGTCATCGGCAAATAACTGTATAACTGCATACATATGTGCACCTTGTACCCTGAATGATTAGCATGTTCGTTTCTCCGAAGCGTTATACAATAACAAATCTCTGTCATCTGCCCGCAGAACGCCGTAACTTTGGTGACTGGTGGAGCCTCCGGTCTGGGTCGCGCTACAGCCGAGCGTCTGGCCAGGCAGGGAGCCAGCGTGGTGCTCGCCGATTTGCCGTCCTCGAAAGGCAACGAAGTGGCCAAAGAGCTGGGCGACAAGGTGGTATTTGTGCCCGTCGATGTCACCTCGGAGAAGGATGTAAGTGCTGCCCTGCAGATCGCCAAGGATAAGTTTGGACGTCTGGATCTCACCGTTAACTGTGCCGGCACTGCGACGGCTGTCAAGACCTTCAACTTCAACAAGAATGTGGCCCACAGGCTGGAGGACTTCCAGCGTGTGATCAACATCAACACGGTGGGCACGTTCAATGTGATCCGCCTGTCCGCTGGCCTGATGGGCGCCAACGAGCCCAACCAGGATGGCCAACGCGGCGTCATCGTTAACACTGCTTCCGTGGCTGCCTTCGACGGCCAGATCGGGCAGGCTGCCTACGCTGCCTCCAAGGCGGCTGTGGTGGGCATGACCCTTCCCATTGCCCGCGACCTCAGCACCCAGGGCATTCGCATCTGCACCATTGCCCCGGGTCTGTTCAACACACCTATGTTGGCGGCTCTGCCCGAGAAGGTTCGCACCTTCCTGGCCAAGAGCATTCCCTTCCCCCAGCGCCTCGGCGAGCCGAGCGAGTATGCCCATCTGGTGCAGTCCATTTTCGAGAATCCCCTGCTCAACGGCGAAGTCATCCGCATCGACGGTGCCCTGCGCATGATGCCCTAGGATAACTGAAAAGGGCAAACACCAATGAGCTCGATCAGTTTGCATTTATGTCAGTGTCCCTCGAACGTGGCCTTCTAACGTTAACGCCCTATTTTACTCTGTTTCTATTAATTAAGTCGAAAGTTGTATTCTTCTGCCACGAAATTATGTAATAATTCACAATAAAAATGTTCTATTCTATATTTTGAATCTGAACGAGGTGACTGCAGTACGACCTGCAACACTGGTCGCTTGGCGCAGGCTGGCAACCCTGCACAGCGGCTGCAAATTGTAAACAAACTCGTCCAACTAGAAAACAACCGTTTTGGAACAGAATGCCGCCTTATCAGCGCTGTGGGGAGATAGTTTTGCTGAAGAAGCGGCAGACGAATGCCTTTGCCTTCCAGTGCATCCACTGTCCGGACGAGAAGCTGGCCAATACACTCAAAGACTTTAAGTCGCATCTGGCATCGAAGCACGCGGAAATTTTTGATGATGAGGAGTCGGCACAGACAGCCAGGGAATCAACCCTGCGTAGTAGGGTCAGCAAAAAGCAGGCCGTAGATGCATCGTTGGCTACCGTGAAAGTAGAATCTCTGGACGCAGAACAGCTCGTTGATGATCCTCTTCCTGATGCTGAAAATCCGCTGTTTGATGCTGATGATCCTCTTCCTGTTGCCGGTGATGCTTCTGTAGAATGCTTTGCGCCAGAGACGGTGTTGGACTGGCCAAGCAGCGATAGCCAAAGCACCACACTGGAGTTCCTGGAGTCGTGCAATGAGGCGACAGACGTAAGCTTTGCTACGTGCCTCCTTCATGTCCATGGCTCTAATATTTTTTTTTGCAGCCAACAGACACAACAATCACAGGCACGGACACCTCGTTCTTCTGGATGCAGGAGCACCCCATCATGCTGGCCTTCATTGGGCAGCTGGAGGAGCATCGCCTGCTCTGGGACTTGGGGATGCTGGCCCACCGCAACTACAAGCGTCGCAGCGAAGCCTGCGCGATGATCGCAGAGCAGTTGAACTCCCAGTTCGCTCTGCAGTTTACGGGCGAGGAGGTGGCCGGTCACGCCAAGAGGCTGCAGGCTGTCTACCGGCGTGAGAAACAGCGTCTGGAACAGGAGATGGCCCAGGGATCGCCCACGACCCCACATTGGTACTACGATAGGTTGGGCTTCCTGGCGAAGAGTTTGCACCGAAAGCGACATCCCAAGATGTTGGGGGCTGCCCGGCCCGTGCCCCAACTGAACCATCAGCAATGCCTGAAGCTCATTGACCTCTACCGGCAGTGCAGCGGCACCTGGGACATGCAGGACCTGTCCTGCCGCCTGCGTCACGTGCGACTCGCGGCCAAGGATAAGTTGCTGGCGCTGTGCCGCGTCGAGCTACAGATTCCCTCGCTGGATCCCTCGCTGCTGCAGCGCTATACCCGAAACCTGCGCAACGCCTACCAGCAGGAGAAGATGCGGCGCATACAGTGCGAGCGGGAGAGTGGCGGCGGCGTGGCCTTCACTCCCCGTTGCCGCTACTACGCGCAGCTGCGGTTCCTCGAGCCACACGTCGCCCCCTTCCAGTGTGATCTGTGCGAGCAGCTGCTGAACAGCGTGGACGTCTACAAAGTCCACCGGGCCGGGCACGACGGCAGCCTGCCGTTCGTGTGCCCCACCTGCGGCAGGGGCTTCTCGCGGAGCGGCAACTGCACGATCCACCTGCGCCGGCACACGCACGACTACCAGCTGGGCTGCGAGGATTGCGGCAAGCGGTTCGCCACCACCTCGGACCTGCAGGTCCACCGACGCTCGCACACAGGAGAGAGGCCCTTCTGCTGCGACATCTGTGGGAAGCGCTTCAGCACCAGGTCGTTCTTCGAGCGGCATAAGCGGCGGCACGATCAGCGGCCACGCGGCAAGTGCCACATCTGCGACAAAAGCTTCTTCGAGCAGTCCGTACTGAACGATCACATCAAGGGGCATCTGAATGTGCGCGACAAGGAGTGCGACATCTGCCACAAGACATTCACCAGCTGCAAGTACCTGCGCCAGCACAAGGAGATCCACAATCCCCAGAAGCGATACATCTGCAAGATCTGCACCAAGGGCTTTGCCCAATACGCCGGCCTCAGCGGGCACATGAAGTCGCATGGTCGGACAGCGGTACTTCTACCTGATCCCAAAACTATGCTAGCAATCCCATCGTCAACGTCATAGATAGACTACTGTAGGAGACAATTGAATCCATACCCAATCCCCAATTTGAGGGGATACATTTGCGATTGATTGTGTGATTGTGTGGCCCGGCGGGGGCGAGTGGCTGGTTCCTGTCGCTGTTACGAGAGTCACAGACCCAGACCCATTCACGGAACAAAGCGAAGCCAACAGGCCACAGGGAAGGGTTGGAAGTGGATCCCTATCCCCCCTGCCCCCAAGTGGTGGCAGCCTTTCAGCTGATTATCGGCAACTAGTTTTATTTTTATATGCATTTTGTATATATTTTAGCATTTGTTTGGCTCTACAGCTCTCGACTCTCGGCGCGGCCTTTATCTTATCATTCGCGCCCTAGAACTGCCTCCAACTGGCAGCAAGTGGGCAAGGGGACGGGCCGGACCGATAAGAGAGAGTTTTTAAAAGAGAATTCCAATTGTTCGCTCGCCCCCGTCAGTCGGAAATTAGAGCTGCCTGAGAATTGTCCACCCATCCGTGACCGCCAGCGATCGTCAGCGTAATACGACACACAACTGCGAGGCGCAGATCGGGAGGAACAGCCAACGGATAGAGGTACTTGAGAAGCAAGCGGAAGGAGGTGGGTGTCGTGAGTGTACAGGCTACAGGCGATAGGCTAAAGAGCACAGGCTACAGGCAGCTACAGTGAGCACTCTCCGATGTGGAAACACCCCGCCGATATGCGCGCTATCTTCCATTCCATTCAATAGTCATAAACTAATTATACGCACGATCGTTGTCGTCTCTTTCCTTTCTGCACAGCACCGCACCGCACCACAGTTCTTGCACCACAATTGCGCTCTGTCTCTGACGTCACTTGCCACCCCACCCACACCAAGTAGGGGCAAGCAGGGAGGGCGGGGGATTGCCGCCTGGTCAGCTGCCGCACTTGCGATAAGCCCGAGTGCAGTCGCGGCTGCAGCTGCGTCGCAGCGAAGGCGAAGCCCGATAAACGTCTAGAGATCTGTCGAATCTGTGGAGAGAGAGAGGAACGACCACGATGCAGGCGACGACGACGAACAATGGCCGGCCAGGGCCAGTGCTAGTGCCAGTGACGCCTGGCACACCGGACTCGGCGCACATCATAATCGGTGCCGCCGGCTTTGCAGCCCACGAGAGACGACAGCCACGAGAGAAGACTCTGATGAACTGCTTTCGTGACCGCTCCACGACCTCCACGTCGTCCGGCGGTGGACCGCCACCGTACTATGTGCGCGGACACAGCACCACCTCGGCTACCCTGCTGCGTCTGGACAGCAGTGCAGTGGGAGGCTCGGGCAACGCCCTGGACCAGGTGGGCATCGAGACCGGACGACCGGAGGCCGTTCGATGGGTGCGTGAGCTGAAATCCAGGCCCAACAAGCTGGCCCTGCTCAAGAGCAGCAGCACGAAAGACTTGACGCGCCTCTTCCTGGAGGATAGCAATGGCAGCAGCGGCACGGCGGTGCTGGTGTCCAACACCAGCCTGGACGTGTGCTCCTCCAACTCCAGCTCGGCCAGCAGCCCAATGGCCGGTGGCAGAGCCAAGCGCAGCACGAGCAGGGAGTGCTGCAGCAGCTGCTCCAAGCGCTGGCACGACCTCAAGCAGCGCATGCACACCCTGGAGCAGGACCTGCTGGCCCAGGCCAGCTACAGCCAGGAGCTGGAGGCCAAGCTGGTAGAGATGACCCGTCAGCTGGGCGAACTGATGCAGGAGAAGGAGAAGGACAAGGACAGAAACAGAGACAGAGAGAAGCAACGGGGCGGCCCAAGCGGAGTGACAGGTAAGAGCAATGTGAGACCCTCGCGTCTCGTGGCCTGGATGAATCTCTCCAACTGGTGGAAGAGCAGGCCCAGCGTGGAGACGCTGCGCGAGCAGCGCATCTTCTTTGACGAGCCCTGCTTCGACACGGAACTGGAGATGGTTCTGAAACACGACCAGCAGCGCACCGTGCCCCGCATCGTGGTCGATTGCTGTGACCTCATCGAGCAGAAGTACCGCCGCTCCACGCAGCCCATCGAGGGTATATATCGGCAGTGCGGCGACTACAACAAAATCCAGACGCTGCGCTTCAGCATCGATGCCAACGACTACGAGGCCCTGTCGCAGACGGATGTCGACATACACACCCTCACCGGGGTGCTCAAGCTATTTCTGCGCGAGATCAAGAGTCCGCTGGTCAGTGTGAACGAGGCCAAAACCTTCATTGGCACGGCACATCAATGGTGTACGTATATCCGCATAGCCAAAAGCTGCAGCTGGAGTAATCTCTTTCCCTTCCAGTGCTCACCGAACTGGCCGTCAAGCTGGACACATTGAAAAGACTGATACGCTCGCTGCCGGAGATCAATCGCGATACCATGGACTACATATTTGGCCACTTTAATCGGTAAGTGGAGCGGCAGCGACGCCGCCTCTTCTGGGCACTCTCTTAGCTCTCCGTCTCCCTCCCCAGGCTAACCAAGGTGCCGCTGCAGCAGATCAGCGCCGAGACGCTTTCCATTTCGGTGACACCATCCATATTCCACACGGTGCCGCAGGGCGTGCACATGCAGGACATCCAGCAGCTGCTGCGCGAGGGCGAGACGCTGGCCGATTGCGTCAAGCTGATGATCGAGTACCACTCGCGCATATTCGAGTAAGTGATGTCCCCACTGAGGGTGGTGCCAGCCCCCTTCCGATTCGGTGATGGTGTGTATATTGGTTCCTAGCCGCAGTCTTCACGCCGCCTCCCACCCCGCACCGCACCGCAGTACGCAGTACGCAGTACATCCCCGTCCGCCTACGCCTCTAGCTGCTTGTCTGCCCAACCATCCCCCAACCACTTGAATGTCTCGTTGTGTCGAATGTTATGCTAATCTCCGAATCCTCCTACAATCCGAATCCAAACCTGAACCTGAACCCACTGTACCTGCACCCTCGATCCTTGATCCCTGATCCCCCAACCTACAATCCTACAGATGCACCGCCGACCGACGCCTGCATCGCCTGAGTATGCGAAACTTGAAGAAGACGCTATCACAACCGGATTTACTATTCCATAATATGTTCTGATGACCGATCCGTTCTGAGAGCTCCAATCGCAAGAGAGAGAGAGAGAGAACCACTGTATATAGCGAATGACATTATTTCTAGGAAGTACATATGTACATATGTATAACCATACCATAAAACGTACTCTACAAACATATGTATACAGGCATGCATGATACACCTACTATGGATATTTTTGTTTTTTGATATACGCTTTTCGTATTTGATATTTTTGTTAATATACATACGTACGTTAATAAATTAGATTTACAAACCTTCGAACCTTAGAGGCTGTCTATACCTGTCTTTGGCTGGAGAGTACACGGCAACGATAAGAGCCATTCGTCTACCGAAGAGCATGAGGGCGTGAGCTCTGGCCATCGGATCACATCATAGTTCCTTTAACTGGAAGTCGGAACGAAGAGAATGAGAGCGTGAGCCATATATCCTAGCTCAAATGAGCTTCACAAATTCGTTTAATGGGTGTATATACGTATGGTTTTTATTTGAACTGTTTTATAATAACATTGCGGGTGGAGTGTTGTGTTTTGTGTGTTAGGTGGTAGATCATGGTACGGGACTGGCTGGCAGGTGACTGGTGGAAGGGCTGGGAAGAATCTAGGATCTCACAATTACAGTCTAATCATCTCTAGAGGCTACCATTTATGTAATCTATGTTTGTTTCGAGACCAACTGGTCTATAAATGTATGTATATGTTCTATGTGTATATATATTTGATATATGTGTATGTGTATGCGCATCGTTATACATAATACGATTAGAATTATACATCAATTGGGTTGCACATGGCCATCGGCGTTTCCTAGACTTGTTTCAAACTTTAACATTAATTTTCAGACACGGAAGAGCACCTTCTCCTTCGAATACATACATAATTGATAGGGTTGTACCATGGGGTAAGGTAATATATAGTATATATATATTTATGTATATGTTATGCATAATGCCTTTAAAATTATTACACAAAAAACATCATTCGCTTGCTCTTCTGATCACATTTCTGGGGATTAAGTATGATGCATCCATGCCGGATGCAATTGTATGATGAATGATGTAAATATATTGGGTTTTATTTTCTTTGCTTTCACTTCTCATCTGTGGGTAGGCTGCCAAACGGGTTCCACTTTCGCTTTCACATCGACTATAACTGAGGGGAATACTAGGGGTGTATGGGATACATTGTGGCATGGGTACACATCGAAGGCACAGGAATACTTATTACACACGCACGCGCACACACACACACCGATCGATCCTATCCTATCTGAGGCAGGCTCCTCCATGTCCTTCTTCCACTGAACTAAATCGCAACTAAATAATTTCTAGGGAGTCGTCTATGGCGGCGGCTGCTTCTGCTTCAGCTTTAGATCTGTTACGGCTACGAGAGCTTACGGTCTAAATGTTGAAATTTGTGATTGAATTTATTATCGATATTTCTACTTGAAGAATGGATTCTTCGAGGCCGAAGACTTCATGGTGCACAGGACCTGACGTTCCAGTTGAAAGTCATAGTCCAAGGATCTTAGCAGCGTTGATAGCTCTGGCAGTATGGGTAGCTATAAAGAAAAAAAGGACACATAAGAAAGAGAGAGATAAAGAGAGAGAGGGGCAATCGCATCACTCACATCAGTTCCTGGCTGATTCCGCTGCAGCCTAACATCCATCACAAAGGGAACCCCTTCCAGTTCGGTATAGGTTCCTAGAGTTCCTGTTCCGCCATAGGCTGCACGCCCTTCTCCGCCGACAACGGCACTGGAGCCCGCTGGACGTGGTGGGGCCGGGCGCTGTGGAGAATTGATTTGATAATTGGCCTGAATCTCCTCATAGTCATGGTGCTCTGCTGTTGGCGGCTGCGGCAGCTGATATAGAGTTGGAAGAGGATGTCAAAAATCAAAATAGAAATTTCAGTTCAAACGAAATGTAGGGAACACTCACGGGTCCGCGCGAGTGTCGTTGTCCCTGCAAATTGAGGCGGTTCAAGGCCTGCTCCACCTCACAGGTGCCGCCGCCAGCGGTCGCAGCTGCAGCTCCAGCTGGGACTGGCGGCGGAAGGCGCACGGGAATGGCGCCCGTTTTGTAGCAGATAAGCACTCCGTTGATGTCGCCGGCTAACTTGAAGCCATCGGGGGCCACCTTTAGCTTGGAGCAGACAATGATATCGGTCACCGCTTGGGTCACTGAGCCTCGCTTCGACAGCTTGTAGGCGATCTGTCGCTTTCGCCAGGCCTTCTGATCGCTGTCGGCTGTGCGCGAGAGCAGCGAGTACTCCTTCGGCGGAGTGGTCTTATCGGCAATGACTCTACAAGGAAAGCGTGAGGCGTTTAAACACGCGTGGGAGCTTGGGATGAGTGCGTGAACTTACTGGAGTGTCTCCACCACATAGTCGGGCAGTCCCTCGGACTTGGAGAGGCACAGATAGCGGGTATTCTGGCGCCCGAAAATGCTATAGTCGCGCCATAGATCTGCGTCTGCATCCTGGTCGTAAGTGCGATGAATGGCACTGAAGTTCTTTGGGCAGCTGCAGGGCAAAACAAAGCAAAGAAATAGTTTCCCATATGTTCCCATTCGATTACACTCGTCACGCCACTCACCGCTCAAAGTCCTGAACAATGTGCAGCGAGGTGATGGGCCGATTGTCTGGCAGGAAGCTCATGATCGAGTTGAACACATTCGTTGCATTGCCGGCCCCCGGTCCAGCCACGCCAGTTTCACTATCAACCGGGGAGCCAAGTAGAGTTGCTGTTGAGAGGGCCACAGGACTGCCACCGCCGAGCGACGAGATGCCGCTTTGGATGTGCTTGCCGACCTTGTTCATGCTGCTGTTCTTCTGTTCTGTCCGATCTGATCTCCTTCCTCTGCTCCCGCTGCTCCTCCGTTTGTTTCTTCTGTAGGGGGTGTGAAAATCCCAAAGGAAATCCAAGTGAAATCCCAATATGAAATGTTAGTCATAGGTTTGTGTCAAATATTTATACAATCAATGCGATTGGGCTTCATTTTCTGCTGCTGGCGATTCCCCCACGATAAGTGATTCATTATCTCGTTGTTCAGTAGCTTCCAGCCGCTTCCGCTCTTGCCATTGCCGTAGCCGGAGCATTCTTTTGTAGGTCGTCCATTATTGATGTCTCTTTTTCCAGGGCCAGGGCCTGGCCAAAGTCTCTCGGCCCATTAAACGATGAAAGAGTTTCTCTTTTGACGAAACGCACACACACACACTCACCCACACAGGCAAAGTGCGATCGAGTGCGCACTTGCAAAACAGAGTAAGAAGATACACTGACAACAAATACTATCCGTCCGGTCGCATCAAAGATGACTCCTTATCGCGACTCATTTTAAAGGGCTTCGTTTGAATTGAATTAACGAGTGTTTATTTAATTTCTGATAAGATATGCACCGATGAATTAGATACTGGCTGTAGACCTCGAGATTCAAATGGCGTCAGTGCAGCTGGCGCTTGCCTTGAGTCATCTTAGCAAAACTTCGGCATACTGCCACCTTGCAAGAGGAGACCAGACCCCCTCCCTTCTGCAGACAGACGAAAGAGTAGAACCAGAAGCAGACAAAGACGCGCGGGGCCACAACCAGTGTGTGGGTTTTTTGGCCAATCTGCACTTTGGCGCGCGCGCGCAATGCCAACAAAGAAGTGAGGAGGGAGGGAATTGCTCCGCTGAAGGACAGCAGCTGGGCTCTGCTCTTGCCGGACCACTTTGTTTAACCAAAGACCAAGAAGCCAATTAAAATTATGAAATGCTCCATAGGGGAATTCCTATTCCCCTTCCCGGCGTTTTCTCCCCTACCAACATTCCGATTAGTCAACACAGCATCACACAAACACGAACCGAACACACATGCAGAGAGCGCTGTATGTACATAATTAATATTCTCGCTGCCCTGGCTCTCTATTCTTGGATTTTGTATGACTTCTGGGACTTTTCTGAATTATGGGACCTCTTCTGCCCACAGAGACCTACCTGATGAACGCGTTCCAAAGGCCGGAGCCTGTCAAATATCATTTAATAGAACAGCTCTCGATCTCACTTTGCCGATTCGTTTTGTATACGCCGCGGAGCATTTACGGGTGTCGGTTGTTAAACAAAAGCAAAGCACCTTACCACCTCACACCACACTCCGCCCGCTGAGATTTTATCGGTCAGCTGTTTCACGCAGAGTTGCACTGCCACTGAAATGTGTGCCCAGTGAGAATAAAAAAAATTTGGTATGTATATGGTCCTACTAGGTGCTTAACGGCATTTTGTGATTTGAAATATGGCGGGTTTTTTTGAACATGGTGTATCTATGCTAACCATTTATCTGAAATATTTCTTTCTCATAATAACATAATAGTGAACAATTGAATTTCGACATTTCTGACTCGTTAGTATGAGTCAGTGGAAAGTTTTCAGAATTCTTCTAGTATCTAGAACTAATATATATATGTGCATTAGAACAAGATACATGCATATTTATATTGTGTACGAGGCTAGGGCTTCCTGGATAGTCTCGGTCGTTGTCATACGAGACATAAATATGCTTAAAAATGCCCACCATATATCAAATCACAATGTGTCGATAAGCACCTAAGTGCGAACAAATAAATACCTAAATGTGGTATTTTCATTGCGCTTTTTAGCACACTGTGCAATACTATAGGGAACAGCTGACGCTGCAGATCAAAGTGTTTGGGATATTCAAAAGTGAGCAAATAAAAGTGAAATAATTTTAAGCAATGGACAAAATCGAATCGGTATCCACGCCCAACGTCGACGTTTACCGCCGCCTGCTCGGCAAGGTCATCTCGCAGCTCCTGCTGGACAAGGGGGCCGGCCAATGCAGTGCACAGTGCCTGGAGACGCTCACGGAAATGCTGCAGGCGTGTAAGTGGACGCGAACTGGAAAAATGCCCAACCGCATATTAATATAATTGTTGTTTGCAGTTATTTCGGAGTTGGGAAACTCGGCGCACAACTACTGCGAGCTCAGTGGGCGCACTATGGCAACGGTGGGCGATGTGAGCATGGCACTCATCAACATGGGCCAGAACATAGGCAGTCTGGAGAGTTACCTTCGCCGTGAACAGCATGCGCCAATTCAACTGCCGCCACAGCAGACACAACAGCGCACACTGAGCCTTCTACAGGCCGGCACCAAGGCATCGCATCCGCCCTATGTCCCTAGCTACTTTCCACCCATGCCAGATCCGCATGCCTACATACGGACACCGACGCACAAGCAGCCGGTGACGGAGTACGAGGCGATTCGGGAAAAGGCCGCCTGCCAAAAGCGTGACATTGAGAAGGCCCTGACCAAGTTCTTGTGCAAGACAACTGAAACGAATAATCTGTTTCCCACTGAAGACAATATGTTTCCATGTGAGTAGTGCTATTCTATTCGTTCAAAATTCAAGCAATTACATTTTCATCCTTTGGCTTCCTTTACTTCCACAGTAATTGCGTGCAATCCCTCGTTGCCGCCTTATTACGCAGCCCTGAATCCCACAGATCAGGTCTTTGATTTCGAGGAACTGGAGTATCACTACTTGGTGGCAAATCGAACAGAAGATGCGCCTAGCAAAGGTACACATCAGCCCAGTGACACTACTAGTATAGAGACCGTAATATTCATTAATATCCTGTTTTAGAGGATGGCGATGAGGGTGACAGCGACAACGAAGATCTCGAGGGAGATAAATCTAAGGAGGACAAGCAGGAGCTTGAGATCAAGCCCAACTCCACAACCAACAAGGCCATACTTGAGAATCCGAACATAGACAATCCCTATTTGCGCGCCGCCACCTTGCCCAAGCGCACCAAGCTCACTTCTTCACCGGCTACAGTCCCACCGACACGCAGTCTGTCCAGAGGACCTTCTACCCTAGCAATAACCAAAGCTGCTTCCTAAGGTTGCAGCGTGCGCTCTGACTACACATAATTTACTATTCTTAGATATACAAATTATAATATGATAGATCGAGGAATCAATCAGGCCTTTTCCGATTATTCTAGATCTATCTTTCAAATGCCCAAACGCATTTTCCACAACCCGCCTACCTAGCTGCGGAAAGGTTGTAATTGCGACTGTGGCAAATGTGTATGGCTTTATTAGCCTTTTAGAGAACCTAAATGCCGAGTCCCCGATCAGCATTACAGGCACCTTCACTCCGAAAATTTCCATGGCTTTTTCTTGTAGCAATGCCGATGCTTCGATCCGTTTGCCGAAGCTTGACTTTCGCACATCGTGTCATTGCACCTTCCTGCGAAGCCGATATTTACATAAGTAAATCTGTACCTACAGTGAATAGAAAATAAATAAGTTACTTAAGTCCCTATTTTCGTCGTAATATTTTACCAATAATCCACTAGAGCAAACCGATGGAGGTGGCAGTGGTGGTGCCACGGCGGTGTTGCGGCTGCTGTTTGGAGTATTGGTGGATGTATTGACTCATGTTCCGCCGCTTTCTTTTTTGGGCAAGCAGGGGTAGCAGCGATTAAGTGCTAAATTATTCTTGCATCTATCGTCCTTGTCGGATATTTAAAAAGTGAGTTGTTTACATCCTCGGTCAGGTGTTGTTGCTGTCGCAGTGCCGGAACTCTGCAAGTGCGAGTGAAATGGAAACAGGCAGCCAGACAGCAGAGAAAACTTTGCGCTTTTCAGCACTACATAAATCTGTGGTTGATGTCACCACTAACCATACAGTATGATATGTAGAAAATATGTTAGTTAGTCGGCATTTTTTCAAAGTAAACAGAATATACAAGTGGAATTTAAAAACAGTATTATTTTTCGCGGCATAACTCAAGCTGTTCGCCCGTTTAAATAGAGGGGGTTGTGTGGGCTACGTTCGTTTCTTCATCGGTATATTTACGGTATATATTTAAAACTAAACGGTATATTTCGCTATATTTCTGAGGAACGGACGGTATATTTGATCAATAAATCCGATTTGCTTGCCAGATTAGACAACATGTCTAGCTCACACACCTGCCTTGCATATTTATATACCTATTTTTAGTATTTTGAAGTTTTTTCCAGTATTTTTTAAGACGTGAAGAATACACGAATGTATAAATCGTGTAGAAATGCTATTTGGAACCATATCCCGGGCCATATCAAACACTAATTCGTGACTAGCATCGATTTCCTGAACGTTTACCATCAAAATATCAATTTTTAAAAAATGTAAAAAAAATTCATGTCGAAAAGTGGATAACGGATTTTTTGACATTTCTTGTTAAAACCTTTTTTTGTAAGCAATCAAATAAAAAGGAGTATTTAAACTAAACCAATCATTCATCAATCGGACATAATCATGTATTCAGTGCTGAAAGCTCTAGCTAGCTAGTGATACGCAACCGAATATCAAATTCCAGGAATTGTATGGAATAATAATACAAATAATTAATCAGTATATTTCGGTATATTTCTGACAGTGAGGGGATATTTTATCGAGAAATCCGTGATCGAATACTAAAAAGAGAAAAAATAATTCGAGTGCTTCGACTAATTCGAAAACACTGGTTTTCACGGCCAGAAAAACAGCGTAGTTCTTCCAGAGTGGCCCGCAGTGCACGTGAGAGAGCAACTTGGATGCATTCGAATCTGTGTAAGTGAGCCCCAAGACAAATGGCAGCCAGAGCGAGCCCCTCCAGTTGGCAAAACAAAGAGGCACTCCACTACTCGCAGCACCAGAAACGAAACAGCAGCTGAAACGCGACGGCAGAGACGGCGGTGGTGGCCGCGGCAGAAGCAGCAGCACTGATTTGAAAGAAAGGAAAACCAGAGAACGTCTCGAAAGAAAGTGAATTCAAGTAAACGGAGCTGCCGAAGCCCCTCAGAGAGATTGTCAAATTTCGCACTGCTCGTAGACAAGAGAAAGATTTTCCCCCTGCCACACAACTGTTTTTGTTTTGTTTGCTGCCGTCTGGCGTTGGGCACGTGTGCTGTGTCCCCCAATTAGTCTCCATCCCCTCACCGAATTTGCGTGTAGTCTAATTTAATACTTGTTGCAGAGTGCACCCGAGTGCTATCCCGCCCCCGATCCACAAGCACCAGCGAGACCACCGAGAGCGAAGCAGTGTCGCCAAGAGTCGCCCGCCGTAGCCCAACCCAGCCCCAGCCCGAGCCCGAGACAGGTAGCAACCGCCAAGGATCATCATCATCGCATCGCAATGGCCAACAACAATCAACTGATGAACATCATCGCGTCGGCCCACGCCAACAACAACAGTCCCAAGTCCCTCTACGACCTGTCCCTGAAGGCATCGATCTGCAGCCTGGACGGGAACACGGTGAGAGCACTGGATCGGATTAGCCGGCTGCCAGAGCTGCCGCGCAATTTACTTATCGATGTCTACGAAATGGTGAGTGACAAGCCAATCAGCAACGCAACTGTTGCATGCAACACCGAGTCAGACAGACTGACAGACGGGCAGGCAGGTTGGTTTCAAGCCAATCCGCGGCTCGATCGTTATCTTGGGGCGGGCTAAAGCACCCACGCCGAGCGCCTCCCTTATCTGGCCGCCCAGATCTCGGTGGGTATTTCGCCACTGGTCCCCCACTGTTTTTGCATCTTCCCGATTACCAGCCGTGTGTACATATCATTCGCATACTTATGTGTTTGCCTTTCCGCTTTGGGGGCGATGCTTGAGCGTAGTGACGTAGACGCTGGCCAAATTGATTAGATGATTATGATTTTGCGCTTATTATGGATAGGATTAAACGATCTCATGAGGGAGCACGATTCTCAATGTAAGATCGTTCCTTGGGGGGTGGCGCACTATAAACAGTGCGCGAAACAGCTGCTGATCGATCGAATTTCAACTAAGAATTTGTTTAATTTAGTATGCACTGATACCGTGGTGTCATGATACTCTCTTTATTAATGTAGTTGCAGCTGGGCAGGACTGTGTGGCCACTTGTTCGATTTCCTATTAATATATAAACTCATTTCTTTGAATGAAATGGATGCATATTGGTACTCTACTTACGATCTTTCGCGGAAATGGGAAGTATGGCGCGCTCGTGCGTCCACACACGCACACGCACACGCACGGCACACACATACACAGATCGGAGATGGAGAGCGAAATCTTGTCATAATAAGCTGGCAATTACAGTATAAATTATAAACAGAAGCTGCGACAAGCGTCTAAAAATAGCTACAATCAGGCAGGGAGCAGGAACGGACAGGAGGGGGGGTTGTCCCCTTGATTGTCCTGCCCCGCTCTAGCGAATGGGTGCGCGGGTAGATGACAATGGTGATGGTGACGATGGGACAGGCCTTGCAGCCGAACAGCTGTTGCCCGAAGAGCCATTGAACTTGCTGATAATGGCTAAGCGCAAATCCATTGTCCGGAGATTGCCTTGTTTTGTCTTGTTTTGAGATGAGAGCTTCGGCATTAATTTCAGCTTATTCCTTTTTGTCCTGTTTTGACCGTGACAGATGTCGCAGCAGGATTCTTTACAGGACACCCTGCTGGAGGAGCTCTCCCGCCTGGAGGTGTTCGCGCGACTCGTACGGCACTCACCAGCACGCAGCAAACTGCTGGGCATTCTGGCCGCCCTGATGGCCAGCAAAAAGATGCTATCGAGCCGGCTTAGCGAGGCCTATGTGGGTCGCTACAATACAAAACAGACGCAAGATGGGGATGATGGTGATGAGGCAGACGAGCAGCAACGGAGAGAAGACGTCGAGGAGCAGGAACAGTCGCAGGACAGTCTGGATGAGCGGGCCAAGAAGCTGGTGCAGGAGTACAGCCAGCTGCAGATACCCGACGAGGATGTGGCCAGCACCAGCAACAGTGCCAGTGGCAGGTCCATGGCCAGCCAAACGATGAGCCCCAACCATGAACTAGAACTCAGTGTGATTACTACTGCCATGGATCAGCCAGGATCTGCAATGCCGGATGCAGCTGATGACGACCTAGAGGAACTGAACGGGGAAGAGCTGCAGGCGATTGACCTGGGCCTTCGTCTCGGTTCATTCCTCTCCGAGGCCGGTTGGATGCAGGAGAGCATCTCTGTGCTGACGTGCCTCAACGAAAGACTGAAGCGTCTGCCGCCCCACAAGTACTGGCTGGTTATGCGCCTCGACTGCCTGCAGCGGTAGGGAATACCCTTGATATCCCTAGCCAATCCTTAGTATATGATGTATTTTTGTTTTTTTTTTTTCTGCAGCCTCCTCTATGCGGAGTCGGCACACTGTAACTTCAAGCTGGCCCAGCGCACCTACAACGACCTCATGGAGCTGAAGAGCTCAATTAACGATCGGGTGCCAGCGGACCTGGTGGCCATAACCTACACACAGATATCGGCAATGTTCTTTGCCCGGAACGAGTACAACAACAGCCACATGTGGAGCCTGCATGCCATGCGTCGTCTCAAACACTCGGCCACACCGCGGTGGGTCTGCCAATCTACCTCTACTTCTGCCCCTACCACTACCACTACCTACCCCTCTCCCTCTGACTCTTGAATCTTGATTGTTATTGTTGAATGTTTCATTTATTATTTACCCTCAGCATCGCCATCGATGTCCTGAGGCAGGCGGCCAAGGCGTGTGTGGTTAAGCGAGACTTTGCCCGGGCCAATCTGCTAATCTGCCAGGCTGTGCGACGCGCTCGGTAAGCTATATATATATAGATATTCGCCCCCTCCCTCTCCGTCTCATTGCAAACTGCTCATCCTGCTCCGTTCTAGGGAACACTTTGGCCGCAGGCATCAAAAGTACGGGGACACACTTCTGGACTATGGCTTCTTCTTGCTCAACGTGGACTCGGTGTTCCAGTCGGTGAACGTCTATAAGGAGGCACTGGGCGTGCGTCGTGGCATATTTGGCAACATGAACTTCCATGTGGCCATTGCCCACGAGGATCTGTCGTATGCGTACTACGTGCATGAGTACAGCACCGGCGAATTTAGCTGTGCCCAGGACCATGTGGACAAGGCGGTGAGCATTATGAAGAAACTGGTGCCGAGCAACCACCTGATGTTGGCCTCGGCGAAGCGTGTGAAGGCTCTGCTGCTGGAGGAGATTGCCTTGGACAAAATGGCCGATGGCATAGATGAGGAGGATCTACTGCTGCAGTCCGAGGAGCTGCATAACTTTGCATTGTTTCTCTCCCTCGAGGTATTTGGCGAGGTGAACGTGCAGACGGCCAAGCACTACGGTAATCTGGGGCGACTCTATCAGACAATGAACCGCTTCGAGGAGGCCGAGCGCATGCATCAGAAGGCCATCAAGATCAAGACGGATCTGTTGGGGCCCTTCGACTACGAGGTGGGCCTCTCCACTGGCCACCTGGCCTCGCTCTACAACTACCAAATGAAAAAGTACCGCGAGGCGGAAAAGCTCTACCTGCGCAGCATCGATATAAGTAAATATCTTTGGAAGCCTCCTTGCTTGCTAGCTCTAAATCTCGCCTCTCACCTGTCACCTCTCGTGTAGGTCTCCGCCTGTTTGGGCTAGCGTATTCCGGCCTGGAGTACGACTATCTGGGCTTGTGTCATGTCTACGAGACGCTGCACGACTTTGAAAAGTATCTGCAATACGCGCACACACTGGAGAACTGGCAGATGCTTCGGGGCCAAAACATCACCCAGAACGTAGGTTCACCCTTGGATAGTCTATGATATAAGCTAGTCGAATCAGTGGCTTCCATTGTATGTGTTTGCTTTGCAGAAGTTCAGCTACCCCGCCATCGAGCAGGACTACTCCATCGATGAGGTCAAAAACAAATTCTTTGACTCGTGCGGGCGCAGTAACGACAGTAACAGTGCCGCCCAGATGACGGAGGCCAAGTGAGTCAGGGAGGGAAGAACATTGTGGAGCACCAGCAGCTGCACAGGTGGCTGCATCTGCCATATGGTATAACGATAGGATGGGTAGCCCCACAGCGCACTGTGTGCATCACCCATTGTTCGAACGGAGCTGACATTATTTTTATATTGTATATATTATGTCCTGTATCCAGCATTCATGGATGCAGCAGATTAGTTAGTATTGTATTTTATTATATTTTGTTTCTCATTTCCATCGAATAAGTCCAAAATGTGGTTTTAAATTTAGTAAGCCCGTAGCCCGGAGCCACAGCAGCCACGTAGCCAGCATTAGGTATCGTATCGCATCGTATCGTATCCAATATCCTCTATTAAGAACCATCGAATACGTCCAGTTCCCCCGTCAGTTAGGTAAGCAGGCAGCAGCAGTCAGGCGGCCGTCCCCTCCCTAGGCTAAGTTCCGATTGGAAATTAGAAAAGAGAAAGAGTATTGCTAGTGCGTGGATACGATATGTTGATTTATTTGAATCTCCACAAATTATTCGTCTTATATTTTGTGTGTGTGAATATTTTGTAGAGACCCAGCCAGTCGCACGGCTTCACTGAAAATTAGTTGCTCGTTCTTACAAATTTCTTAAATTTTTTGTTCTTCTTTAAACAGAAGGTTTATAGTTAATTACACATGTGATTGAGATGATAAGCAGGAAAGATAGGAAATAGCTGTGTAGCTTTCCATAGTGGAAATTTTGCGTTTTTTTTTAAGTGCATAACTGGCATCATCTATCCACGATTTATTAGAACGTTCTGTAGCACAATTTGAAGTTTGATTTCGATGCTTTGAAAGGCTCCGCCACTCGCGCCACCCATCACCTGCCACCACCAGTAAATGCCAACTAGAATCGAAGAGTACATCATTTTGTATAGATCGGAGAAGGAATAAGCGAAAAATGTATAGTTCTAAGCACAACCATTATCCACTATGATTAATACTTCATACCGATGTTAGCCGATGGCGATGCGTGCGTGCACACATGTAACAAGTATTTGACGCAGCAACTAAGTAGTAGACACACACAATAACACCCAGACCCACCCTCATAAGTGGAAGACAATGCAGTGAACCGGTGGGACCGATCATACCCGTACATCGTATGAGGTCGCGGCAACATCTATGAGTATAGTTTATACACAACTGAAACCATAACACGTATACTTATGGAACATTGCAGTTGCAAGCAATTTTTGGAATTACTTAGCTGTAGCTTAAAAGCAACGTCGTAAATCTCAAAATAAATACAAAATCAATCAAATCGTTACTATTTTTCTAAATGTTTATTGTTGGAAATTGGTGAAATTAAATAGAATTCACTTTGATTGCATACAAGTTTTTTCAATATCATATTTAATATACATATAAAACACTTTAAAACAAATAATAATGGTAAAATGTATGTGAAAACCCATTTTTTTTTTACAATTTTCGCACACGGTGCAAATATATTGCTATACCTATAGTAAATTTTAAAATCAAAGTGCAATTCGATTCTCAGAGATTTTTTTTTCTGGGTTCAATGTTCATTCATATATTGTATTTACATATGGGTGTATGCAAATATTCTTAAATATTTATTTACATTTATGCCAGATAGCTGGCACTTTCGACTGGCTATAATTTCTTTGGAAGATATTGTTTATTTTTGATCGTACAATATTTAAAATTAGGCAAATAACAAAGAAAACTTAATTGGCTATCGGACTGTCTTAGTTTTTCGATTAGTAAGGCTCTATTGAAATGCATTTTATTTGTTTTATTTAGAAAGTATATAAAAAAAGTATATAAAATAGTATATGGCTTTTGCATTTGATAGGGTTAAGAGGTCTTTAAATATATTTGTATATTTCCCCTTTTTAAATATATATTATATTCCATACACTTATATTCGGAAATGCATCTGAACATTTCAGCTGATTCACACTCGCAAGAACTATAATTCACAATATATAATATATTCACAATGCTGCTGTGTTTCATGAAATTCAAGAACAAAAGTACCCCACAAATCCTTGGATCCAAGTATATTCTTTAGTTCTTCTATGGATGTAGTCATACGGGAGTAAGTGAAATTAACTCACTTTCTTTTTCCTTCATCTACTCGTATGTACAATACGTAAGTATATTCTATACAATTCTATATTCATTGGTCTGTTGACTTCATCGTACATGTGTCTCCATTCCGTTTTGGCCAACTGTGAGAATTGTACTTCTCAATAAAAATAATTTTATTTTATTTTTTCTATATTCAGATTTAAATTTCGTCCAGATTCTGTTCGATATCTGCGAGCACCCAAAGGAAGGCGGAGTGGGAAGTTCGAGGGTGTCAAACTGAATTTAACATTAGTTTTACCCATTCCGGTTCTCTATTAGAAAGATGGGGCAGGCGACTATGGACACTTAGGGATTACTGGATAGGGAGTTTTTTGAGGGATGCTGACAGACCTTGGATTCGTCCATTACCTGGTTCTGACGGGGTTAAGAACGTGTTCAAAAACAGGATGAGTGCAACGACGGATCCAGGAGGCCAAGAGACTCATTAATAATATACATATGCCGTTCATATAGTTAAAATCTATAGAAATTGTGGTGCCATTGTGTGGAAATGTAGCCCCCACACGTGGAAAGTGCCTTTCAGTCATCAAATAACCCTTTGATCGTCGTCTGTGTCTGGGTGCCTCTTTGTGTATGGCGCTTTCGGCAGGTAAAACCGACCGTGTTTTAATTGCTTGCCCCACTGTCACTTTTCTTCGCGGTGCGCGCTGGGGTTTGTTTTCACTTTGGCACTTCACCGACGACAATTAATGACTCCCCCCCTCCACCCCGCTGCCGTTGCAGCATTTTGATGGGAAACTCCGGCGGCGCAATGATCAGCATTTGGCGCAGCCGCGCAGAGTCGCGCGTCGCCCCGTAAATGGGTCAGCAGCATCGCCTACTCTCGCGCACACAATGCACGAAGGCACACGCTTTGCCTGTGTGAATGTGTGTGTGAAGCTGCCAAAAGATGCAGTTGCAGTTGCAGTTACTGCTGCATACTCATGATACCCATTAAATGTAATAAATTGTTCCAGCCCATCCTCTGCAACATGCTTTGGGCAGAGAGCTGCTTCCTTTATTTTCCATTGTGCGACATTTCTGATTGGCTGGGACCTGAGCAGTAGTGTTGGGCAACGCGTGTAGTGTTCGAAATAGGTCTGGAAAAGGACAAAAATATAATTATAATTGATTATTCAAATTACTGGAAACGTTCACAAAAGAAAACACTTTTATTAATGCGCTTTTCTTCTAAGTTCCATGAACATGAACTTCCCTCTTATAGTAGAGGGTATCAGCAGACATGTTACCATGTCGGCACTCTCACTCTGTGATCGCTCTTCTTAAACAAGACACCAACTACTGCTTTTCGTCTGCTGGTTTGAGATGCTGTCCAAGTGATTGGGTTTTCAACCGACGATATTTGATTCTCTTTTGTATTATATGTGTATCTATATTGGCACTTATTTTAAGTGACATCTTCTTGTTTCTTAAATGATGGATTTTTTTATTTGATTTTACATATTTTGCATCGGTGAAATCCCTTTGGTGCCATCGGATTTTCCTCGAAAAACCGTCACTAGAAAGCGTATCGTGTAACACTCACACGTGCCTCGTTTTGGGAAGTGTAGTTCTTTTTTTTTGTTTTGCTGTATCGCAGCTTTTGCTTTTGACACATTTTCGTTGCCGCCGACGCTCTGTCATTTCGTTGTTTTTGTTTTCGGAGCCAACAATCGTCGTTGGTAGTTGCCGACGTCGCGGTGCTCAAGGTATTTTCTATGTAAGGTATGTACAGTTCAGAAACTGCAAATTGAGGCCCAAGGGACAACCGATGATCACTGCCGCATGACGCGTGACATGTGGAAGCATGATGGTGGACAGGTAAACTAATGATGGAGTAAAATTCAAACTAAACAGAACTAAAAGACCTTCATACTAATTTTAAAAAGAGAAGGGAAACTAGTAGTAGATTCCGAGCATAAGACCCCAAATGGCTCATGCTTGAGCGAGAGGAGCCAAGGTGTATAGTTTCTAAAGGATCCAATGGGAACACTGAAGTCAATACCTTCTTTTTAATATACCTTGGCTTGGCCGCGTCGCTGCTCCGTCTGGCTCCGGCTCTGGCTCGCTTGGCTTTGGCTTTGAGGTCTCTTGATCGATCAGTTGCTGACTTTACGCGGCAGCGAACGGTATTGCGTTTCGATAGTGGTTCCGGTTCCCATTACCGTTACCGTTTCACTTCGACTTCGACGTCAACTGCGATTGCAACCTGCGATTGCGATTGCTACTGCCACTGCGCATGCGCGCCGGACTCTGAATCGGTGGAAAAACAACGCCTATTTTTGGTTAGTTTTTTGTTTCTTTTTTTTTTCGGCGTGCATGATAAAAAGTGAAACTGTCCAGCGAAAACCAAACGAGTTTGGCTGCCCGATAATTATACAAAATGTTTGTTATTTGCGAATAGTTCTGAGTGCAGTGCATATATTTGTGGAATGTGGCTTTTGTGGCTGGTGCGGTGCGGTGCGATTCACAACGGATTTATGGCCCATTAAAGTGGCGCGCAAGTTCAATAGTTTGCATCCAATTGGGAGGGGTGATCCCATTCCGATTCCGATTCCATTCCCATTCCCATTACCAGAATGGTGGCCCGTTGTCTCTGAGCCGCCTTTTATGGCTGGAACATGATCGGTTGGAGGGTGGAGGGGGGGAGTGTGCGAGTGCTAGTTGGAGCTGTCGCAACCTGGGGCTGCTGCCTGATTAGCAGCTACTTGTGAAGTGCGACTAGATCTACCCACGAAACCAATCCCCTACCCCAACAGCCATCATTTATTGTGCCGCCTCATTCTTCGCCAGATTGCATAATGGTGTCGCGTAGAGTGCCCGAGGTATCCACATGGCTGCATCATTATCATCATCCCATCGAGCCTCATGCTTTTATCTGAAAAAGCAGAAGAAGATCTTCTTCGGCTTGGATCGAATCGTGTCTTTGCTTGGGCTCTCTCGCGTGTGCCACAAATGGAAATCAAAACTGGAGCAAATTAACCAAGATTAAGCCCACAATTAGGTGCCCAATGTGAAAGTTAAGACCGATCCAAGCATTGCCTGAGGCAGAGGAAACCTGTTGTTTCTGTTTCTGTTTTTGCTGCTGCTGCCGGTGCTGCCGCTGCTGCTGAGCGGCTCATCTGCAGCCATGACCACTTTTACTGCACTCCCCCGTCCTTCCTTTCACTACACACCTTCACGACCACAGTGGCCAGATCTGGATGGAAGGGGTAAGACTATGGCTATGGCTATGGCTGGTACGCTTCACTGACCTATGCCAAGGCCCCCGCAGATGTTGACGGTCGTTTGTTCGGGCTCTAAAGCTCGGCTCTTGATTTGTTTCTCTCTGTTTTTTGCACTCTTGAACTCGACTAAAACTCTCTACGGCCTTTGCTAGGGCAGAGCGGCAGGCAGCGGTGGAGGGAAGCTCGTATCAAGTTCAAGTTAGCCAAGTTTTGTTTGGTTTTTCAGTGGGGTCTTTGGATGTTGGAGCCAAGCCCATGCCCAGCCCGGAAATGGAGTGCCGCCAAGCAGCACTTAACAATAGATCGCGTGGGGGCTTGAGAGCACATTAAAAGATGATCTCCAGTTCAAAGCCAGCCAACGCTTTCATTATAATTATCTTTGTCTTTGCGACAGCATCTCTCTCTCCCATTAGGCGCTATCAGCGATGAAAACTGCTAGAAATTTCGACAGTAATCTTTTCTCTTATTTATTTGTATTTTTTCTTGTGTTATTTCCGTTGAAGATCTCTGCTGTTGCTTATTGAGGATCTCATGCTGTGAGCAGAGTTTCGGCTTGGTTCTCAGTGAGTTGACAGATTTGCTGTGCTATGGGTAGGGCTGTGAGGGCTTAGATGGGTACAAATGGTACAGAGGAGAGACCTACAGAGGGCTACAAAAATTAGTTACACTATGAACCGCATCAAATACGACTTTTTGGCATTTTTTGAATATTGTTCACAGCTTTCTTTAGGTGACAGATCTTGCTTCATTTCATCGATGCATACTCGATCCTTTGCGGCTCAAGGAACATGCAATCATACACTCGATCCCAAAACGATCGTCTTACGATTTCACTCCCACACTGAGTGTGAGTTCAGTTTCGGTTTCAGTTCATTATCCCAAAGACTAGCCAAAGTTCAATCGTTTCGCAAGCAAAACCAAATCTGCTGGCCGCCTCTGACTCTGTGGCTAAACGCTCACGAAGATACTCAGATTCAGATATTCGTTCCGGCCAGCCACACGGGTGGCTATTTGCATTTGTGTTTAACATTGAACCAACTGAGCCAGCTCAGGTCCACTTGACACACATAGCCTCTGTGGCTATAACTGAAGCTTAAGCTGTAGTTACACGCATACATGTGTATCGTGATCTGTGGCCAAGTGGGAGCACCATAGCGGGCTGTGGCTGTGAGATAGGTGGAGTCTGAGCTGAGGCAATGCCCATTGCAAAACACGCCACATTTTGGACATCTTCGTCATCGACTTGGATGGGATTGCATGCTCTTCGGCCGTAATTCCCATTGAAATCGCACTGAAATCGGCAAAAAAGCCGGAGAGGAGAGCCCCCCAAGAGCCCCAAACAATGAAAACACTTTCACTTTGCTCACCTCGCAGCTACCAAGGGCTACTGCCCCGTGCCCCAGCCACTCTCTGCACTCCCCGCTCCCTCTTGACCAGCTTGCGTAAACTTTCGTGCTATATTTTAGCTGCTTTTTATTGTTGGTGTTGTTTTGTGGCTTTCAAAACAACAAATGCGTCGCCAAGAAACATACAACAATACTACTAGCAATAAAAATAATAATAATAATAATCAGTGAATGGGCAAGAGGGGGTGTTGTATGTGGCAGGGAGAGTGGGGGCGAGTGGGAGAGGCAATGGTGTGGGACATATTTATTAGCATGTTGGGTGCGTGTGCTCCAATCGTTGGCGCTGTGGCCAGGGGTTTGCTTCTCTGCTTTTCTAGCTTTTGCTTTTTGCTGCCATTCCCGTCTATCGGACGCTTTCTGATGATGTGATGCCCCGTCAGTGGCCACTAGTGGGGGCGAGGCCATGGCTAAGGTCAAGGACTTGAAAAGGCCACGGGTCAATGATGTAAGTTTGCTAAAAAGGAATAAGAAAATCTTGTGGTTTTTAAAGTGGTTTAAACTTTGAGTCGGCCAGGAAAAGCCAAAAGGGTTCTTTAATGGGAGCTCGAAGCAGATGGTAATGTCCATCGATCGTAGCTGATCGACAGATCGTAGCCGACTCAAAATTGATTACTTATGAGTTACACAAAGACTGAGTCAATACCTGGGTAGCCCCTTTCCGATTCCAATCAAACCATATCGTCAGATCTTGGCCGCAATGTTACCCAACAATGTGCTATTCGTAATGGGGTAATATGCTGGGGGCATTCTTCGTTGTATCTTCCATTGTTTTGGCCCCGGCCACTGTGCGTATACGTAATGTGATGCATGGGCGAGCATATGGCTGGGCGTGGCTCGTGGTTCTCGTCAGACTGGGGCTTGGCCACTGATGCAATGCATGACATATGTGCGATGGGGGCTCCCATGTCGTGTCTGGCCATTGTTAGTGCCATGACAATTGTCCCCCCCCACCACCCCGCACCAGTTGCCACAGTCGGAGTCCGAGTGCGGAGTCCCAGGGAGGATGGGAACGAGGTCGAATGAGTTGCAAGTTTTGGCACCTGCCGGCGAAGGAGCTGGTTGAATGATTCGTTGGGCGGGCTTTAACATTGGGAAAGCCGCCAGCTGGTGGATGGAACGGGGCACGGGCACGAGCCCCTTAACTACCTACGAATGTGGGGCTGAATTATTCAGACTCTCCCCCCGAAGACGCCCACACGTTGAAACACGCAGACAGGTGCCTGACAGAAGCCCGCGGGCCATCCAAAATCCACAATTCAATGCAATCCTTAGCCCTAGAACCGCAACAACACGCAGACCGAGAACCTTAGCAGCTGATTTAATTAAAGAATAACAATATACGTATCGGAACTAACCGCAGGTTTCGGTTCCGCCGGGAAGGCGAAGGAGTACCGTACCGGCTATAGCATTGCCAGCGCCGGAGCGGCTCAGTCCAGACCAGACGGTGATGCCTTTGGGTCTGGCCCACGTGAACCAGTTGCTTCACTAGTTTCCACACACATCCACGTGCGGTTCGTCCAGCTTCGGTCCGGGATGCCCTACAATCTGTGGCTGCGTCGGCGACTCCAGCTGCTGGCCTCGATGCTGCTCTGCGCCCTGCTCGGCTACCTCACCTCATCGGCGGCCAAGCCAACGCTGTCGTTCAGCCTGCCTCAGGGACTCCAGGGTTTTCCCTCGTTTCAATCGTTCACCCAGCAAATCCTCGAGCAGCGGAGCGTGCGGCAAATGAAGACGTACAGGTGAGCACTCCCGTGGATGCACCAGAGATCTTTCTCCCTCTCTCTCTCTCTCTCTGTCCAATTAGTAGGCATCCGGCGTACTTGAGCGGTACGGCCGTCGAGGGTTTCACCGATCAGCAGCAACAGCAGCAGCAGCCATTGCCATGGACATCACGTACCGCCCATCAATGTGCTGCTGCCTGGCCATGTGCCCATAAATGCCTCAGAGCTCTCACTTACTCTCCTCTCTCTCTCTCTTTGTCTCTCTGATTTGACAGCGGGAAGCGGCTGAGCAACGATTCGCTCATTATGATATACTATCACGATCTGACCATAGCCGTAACGGAGCTGGGCCCACAGAAGCTACTGTTGGGCTGCGAACTGATCGAAATCTAGTGAGTATGCATGCGAATTAATAACACGTATACGTATCTACATTTTATACATCTATAACTATATCTATCTCTTCGAATACGTGTATCCATCAATCTGTTTGGGAGCTATCAAGGTTTTGCGGAAGCAATCAATGAATAGATAGAACTGATTGGGAATTGTGTGCTTAGACTTGAAAGACCAAAGCCCTAAGGATCAGTCATTAGACAAAAATTATCCAGATAGATTTGCATCACTCTGTTCATAGTCAAGGATTTCTAGTGCCTTATAAATTGATGAGGACTGTCAGCCATTAGTCAGATATGAGGAGACTCGGGATACTAGAAAAGAATCTACAGAACCCCCTTGGTTCCTCGTGCTTTGTATATAAAATTATTCGTAGGATGAGCCTGAACAACAATATATTTAGTACTAGATCCCTTCCTCTTACTTTTTTCTTTTTACTTTTAGTCTTTTAGTTCAGTTTAGTCCTCGATCATTAGTCTAACAAATATATTCTCGGAATGTACGCGACTGGTTTGGTTACGCGTGTCGCGCGTCATGCGATAGCGCCCCTCGGTCGGCTATGTTTTCTGCCAGGAATGAGTAAAGTTGTAAAATTGCTAACAATTTGTGTTCAGGATAAAGCTCAATTCAATTCTAGTGGTGCATTTGATCAGGGATTTCCTCAATCTCGATCGCCATCTCATCTAACTTTTCTCTGCTCTGCCAGCAACGACAAAGAGGGAAAGATGCTGCTGGAGGGACTCGCCCACTATAATCGTCCTTTGGAGATCAAGTTCGATGAGATGCTCAAGCTGATGGACCAATGCGAGCACGTGGACAAGCTGAGCTACGCCTCGCGCCACAAGGGCAAAACGGAGGGTGGCGAAAGGAGCAGCAGCGGTGGTGGTGCCAGCGGTGATACAGCCTTAGCCAGTGGTACCGATGGCCTCAAGCTGGCCACCAACATCTTTCCGCGCAGTCCCTTCTCCCTGCTCAGCGGCATCATACCAGGTGAGTGTGCTAACCCTACCGCTAGCAAAAGGACCACTCCACTGATCAAGTGCTTTCTCCGCTCCGACCGACTTTCCAGGCACCAAGTGGTGTGGCACTGGCGACATTGCGGAGACGTACAGCGATCTGGGCAGCGAGATGGCCATGGATCGCTGCTGTCGTCAGCACGATCTCTGCCCGGTGAAGATCCGTGCTTACCAGCCCAAGTACGACCTGATGAACGACTCCATCTACACCAAGTGAGCTCTCGGTGATATCCCTGATCTAATTTAAATGATAATTCCCTGATCCCCCACTATAGATCGCATTGCATCTGCGATGATATGCTGTTCAGCTGCCTGAAGAAGACCAACACCTCGGCCAGCCAGCTGATGGGCTCCATTTACTTCAATCTGGTGCAGGTGCCCTGTCTGGATGGGCGCAGTAACCAGTACAAGTTCCGGAAGGCCAAGGAGGGCTTCTAGGCGAAGCGAGGAGGTTTTCTATATACTTAAGTGGGGGCAGGGGCATGGGGGGACCGTGGGAGCGCCGGGGTTTCACTGTACAGGACGGCAGAGACGGACTATTTATTGGTTGATTGGCAAACGATGAGGCCCACTTTTATTATTGATTATTCTGTTAGGCATACAGATAAATATAAGTAGAGTTGCAATCATTATCGTTATACAAATAATAATAATAATAAAATTAATATTTTTGGCCAGAAAACAAATTTGTGATCATCTTTAATCAAGTACTCGAAATACAATGTACTATTTAGTATCTGATTTATCTGATTAGTTGTCTTTATTCGTTAATCGTCAACAACAACAACAAAAAAAAACATACACACAAAAAAAATAAATAAACAGTACAGAACAGAACCATGTAGGACAGGAGACAAAACGCACACAGATCAAGATTTCAGATCAAGGGTTCTCCTCGGGCTCTGTGTTCCACATTCAACTACAATGCTACAATGTTGCTTAACCCTAATTGTTGTCTTTACAACAACAATGACAAAAAATTTATTTATTTATAGTAGTATATCAAAATTTATCATTCTGTTCTGGGGAAGGTTCTCCGCTCCGTTCCGTTCCGTTTACTGTTCTACTTCCAGATCGGAACCCGTCCATCCATTGTGGTTTTTCTTTTCTTTTTTTGGTGGAGGGCTAGCAGGGTATGTTGGAAATGGTGGCTTCTCAGGTCTCCTCCGGTCTAGAAAATGCTGGCCACATTGGGACCTGGCTGCGAGTTGGTCGGAGTCGGCTGCGTGGGACGGTCAATGTCCTGATAGCTGCGCTGCTGGCTAGTGGGGAAGACCGAGCCCGTCTGCAGGCTGCCGCCCCGCGTGTTGAACTCGCGGTATAGCAGGGCCACACTTACGGGGCGCAAAATCAGGTTGATAATGCTGAAGGCAATGGCCCAACCATCTGAAATGGAAAAGGTAAATACATACATACATACATTCATGCATGGAAAACTGTTACAAAGGGCTCCCTCAGTGGGGTTCGATCGATTGTGCTGGATGGATGCGGTCAGCCTCTACTTACTCATGAAATGGAAATAAATGATAATGCTGACTAGATCAAAGAATATGCTTGAAGCATCGATGACGAGCGCCTGCAAAGATACGTAGAACAAAATGGTAGGGCATGAGTATGTGGGGAAAGGGCAACGAAAAGCAATCGGAGGCTGGGAGTATGCCACATATCATATGTATTTACAAGTATTTTATATTAAACTGTTCACCCTGACATGACTGACAAGCGACTGGACTGGCTGACAACGCAAATCGCCAAAGGATGATTGTTGGCTTCAAGTGGGGGCACATGTCATATCGCCTTGCCGGAGGGTAGACTTATTTCATCCGATATGATACTGTGTGTTTGGGTGTGTCGGTTAGGGAGAGTAGACAGCTTACAGTCTTACAAGGAGTATTTTTAAAATGGATTGATTTATTGGTCTCTGAAACTGATAATGTAATGTGATAATGTACATGATATCGGCAACCTGTGACCTGTCAGGTGGTCTCAGTTAGGCCCCCACCGTCTGAGCCATCTCACCAGCTTTCTTTGGCGACAAGTACAAGTATATGTGCCCATACATATCGACTTCATTTTGTATCAAATGATCGAATGCCAATTTGTTTCGAAACTGTTCTACATCATCTATAATATTAGAATATTATAATAGCACTTTACTTTTTGTCGCTTACGATCATTTCGCAAAAACGGTTCAATGTTTACTGTACTCACGAGTACTTACTGTACTGCGCTGAAGTAGCATAGTCTACTTTCGGCTACCATATTCGTGTAGAACGCATGTCAAATAAATGTAGATTTTTCCTTGTGGAAGATACATTACATGTACATTACATCAATATACATATACTGTCTGATCGAGTATCAAGGAGTAAATATTTTTGGGTTGATTGACGTTGATTTGGTGCACAAATTTCCCAAAAGCGAACTGATCATTGCAGAAGCGGAGAGGAGATCCTTTAGCCATGGGTAATTTGAGTATTTTCCATGATCTAATTTCCATGAATATGTACTAATTAGTGTTCATTCTCGAATACCTCACGAAATCAAATATTTGTAAAGCAAATGGATCGATACCTAACTCGTTATGGTAGCTGACTTTATTTGGTAACTTTTTGATTGCATAACCCATACTCTTACGATTGAGCAAACCAGAGAGCTATAAAACCAATATAGACTTTATTATAGCGAAGAAACTTTCCTACTCTTCCTATTCAAAAGATTTTGATAAATGGTTTTATATCAACTTTGTTGAATGATCTTTCGTCATAGAAGCGCTTATTTTCCACAGAACTGAGTTGAGCAATCTATGTACTATGTATGTATGTATAAATAATACAATCATTTACATATGTATTATATAGTATGTATTCCCACTCGTTATTTGTCAATCAAGTGGAATCGGTACGAGAGCGATACCCACCACATGTGATGGCAGTGGTCATAGTCCTCTCCGTGTTAGCCCAATTTCAATTTTTCGATTTAAATAAATGATACGAATTGATTTTTCTTTACAGTTTTGATTCCGTAGAAAAAGAAGGATATTTGCTTCGGATGTGGCTCGTTGGGCTTTTGCATAGTTAAGTTTATTAAAAGGCGTTGCTAATGGCGTTCAAGAAACCAAACAAAAGTTGTGTGCCCCACCAGCTACTGGTGGATAGAGAGATTGAGGGGTGATGTTGGTTGATGGCCAGAATCTGAGTTCGTGTGACTGACCGAAGCCCCGAAATGAAATTTTTGTTCCTGATACTCTAACTACAATATACTGTTTTTGGTAGCCTTTGACCCAAAATGGCATGTCGCGTGCTGCGGCTCTAAAACGTGTAAACAGGGGCGGGGGCGGGGGCGGGGGAGGAGGCGAGTGCGGGGGTTCTTGGAAGGGTGTAAATGGTCGTTACAGTGGGGGGTATATGGGGCGGCTGGTCAGTTATCGTTAGTTGGTTACGTTTTCGGTTGGCCAAAGGTCAAAGTTGAGAGTGCCAAGCCATTTTCTGGCTAGTATTGCCCTTTCTTGCCGCTAACCCATCTATTAATAACGGTACACACACACACTCATATGAACACATGCACACACGCACATATATATATATGTATATTCGACACAAATCCGCTTCCATTTGCATACCACCACGTATACCTTCGGTTTATGTTTTTCTTGTTGTTTTGTTTTGGCTACGGCGTATGAGTGCCTGTTAACCCATAAGCGAACAAATTGATTGGACATAGCCCAAAATAGGAAACACTCTTTGCCTTGAGTAAACGTTTTCTCTTTTATGCAAAGAGAGCGGGAAGAGAGTCTTCAGATCTCGATCTCTCGCTAACAAAATTCCACTTGTGTATCTCATTACGAAACTTAAGCTTAAAAAAGAATAACCCCATTTTCGCTATCTTATCAGGGCAATGTCAGGGTGTATGTAAACAGAGAAACATGCGGGCTGGAGGCTGTACGGGTGGCATCAGCCGTCGCTTTATGGAGGGCCTCTGAGGCATCACCATCAGATTTTGTGCATCTCTGCTGCAGTCTCTGCATATGATTTCGAATCAATCAAAAGCACAGCCTCGAGTCATCATTCAGTGCTCTATCATTGAATTATCCTATTAGATAGACTTTGTCTTTGTTGATATTTCAAACTCGGTTATCAGCTCTGATTCAGTCTCATTCAGTATTATGCTTTTTATGGCTTTTCTGTTGGTTCCGTTTTTGGCGAAGTTTAATAATTGTCAGTCGTTGAATTGTCTTTAGTCTCAGTCATTAAATGATTAATTTCCATTGCTTGTATTGCACTGCTTTAAACACTGCTTTGCACTGCGCTCAAGCAAAGTTAGTCACGCCACTGCTTTATCTGAGCGCTCAGCTACTCTCTTGTGAAACGTCTACTGCAGTCACCGCCTCTTCCTCTGCTTCTGCTTCTAAGGTGCTCTCCAACTATTTCTCCAATGAGAACATTCTGTATTTTTATTATTATTTATACTATTTGTATGTTAATTTGAGAATTGGCTGATTTTCGTCTAACCGGTTTGGCAATTTGGTTGCGATATCAATGTGACTCGTTCGGAATTTTATTTAGATTAAAATGTGAATCGTAAAGCCGCGATGGAAATTCAGCACTTTAATATTTTTTAATTGTGGGATGAAACGGAGAATTTACGTACTTTATGTGTGTACATTCTTATCAGCTGGTTTCCTAGTGTGAGTGAGTGAATGTGTCACCGAATCGAGTAATCTTTCAAAACCAAGGGCAGGTTCAACTGCTTCGATGCTGATGGATTCATTCACAATTTTACGCCTAAGAACATGACTTCTTATCCGTTTCCTTACTGTTTGAACTGCTTAGCCGTTTCACGTAATTCGTTAACTGTTTCACTTACCGATTGCACTGCTTCAATAGAGTCCTTGCAATGGATCGCCCAGAACATGGAAATGATGAACAGAAAATTGTAGAACTCATATGCCCCATGCCCCCAGCTGCCCAGCATGGCATTCGATATGAAGAAGAAATGCACAAACGCCACCAACTGCAAGAGGGAGGGAGAAATAAATATACATAGTTAGTGTAAGCGGATCAAGCCCCAGACGCGTGGAGTGTCAATTGAAGCCCCACGAAGTCGCGGCGGCGGCATTGCCCAAGCTCTTGGGTAGCTGCAAATTGAGACGCAGACACTCGAGTTGCTGTCGAAGATATTGGATGCCTCTGGCTGCGCCTAGCCTGCGGTTGTATTGTTCGCGCTGGACGGGGTGCTAATCAGCCGTTGCAAGTGGGGCGGGGTCCAGCCAGGACGGTCTTCAAAGCAGTGCATGGCGGGCAGTGTTAAGCAGCCCAACAAGTGTATAATGGCTTCGTGGGGGGTGGCGGGTGGCGTGGTGGAGTACTGCATTACCTTGACGCGCACAAATGGCGATCCCAGCAATTCGTTTAGGTCGGTCATTCTGATGCTGTGGACAGAGATGCAGCTGTGCACACGACTCGACTTTTCTCTCTCGCTCTCTTTTGGTTCTCCCACGCAGGCGGACCTGTTACGCTTATAAACAACAACAACACGCACGCACACACACTCTGATGCTCACTCGTACTCGCGCAGACAGCTGTTTGTTATTTTTGTGCAAAAAAAATTGCTTAAACTGTTCTACTTTGTCTCCCGTCGCTGTCGTTGTCACTTTACGGTTCTACCGCTGCTGCTGCTGCCGCTGCCGCTTTTGTCAGATCTATTTTCACTTGTCGCTTTCAATTCACTTTCAATTGGTTGAACGCACTCTCCGGGCAATGCAAGTGGCACACTGTTGCAGTTGTCTGTATGAGTGTGAGCACTTGTTGGTCTTCCTTGCTTAAACGGAGGGGAAGGTGGGAATAACTTTTTTGCGGGGGCAGTAACAGTACCAGTAGCCCACGAAAAACCGTAACGCCTACGCACAGACAGGTACACAAAAATGTAGGTGGATTATAGAAATAAAAAAAATGTTGGATTTATAAGTATTTTCTGCAGCGGAAAGCGCGAGCGTCGAACAGAGCACGAACGGTTTCAATTTAAATCTAACTTGGACTGTGCATGGGGCAGAGCCAGACGACCGAACGGACCCCAGCGGTGGCCTACGTTTTTCCCCCCATGGTATGTCTATATTAGGTACGGATGACGCAGAAAACAGCCTCGAAAATATTCATTAAAATTTGCATTAAAAAACCAATTTGATCACTAACTCCTTTCTTAACTTATATTATATAAAATACGTTATTTTAATGCATTAGTGTCTTGCATCATCCAAAATATCCTCGAATTAACAAAATTCACGAATTTAGTAACTTTTGGTAACTCAGTTTAGAAACCGCCCGCAAAGACCCTACCCTCTATAGTTATACCATGAGTGAGGCAACCAAACAGACCCCAGCGTCGACAGCGATGCCAACGCCGACGCTGGTGGCGTAATTATCGCAATGCCGCTGGTATCTTTTTCTATGGTATCCTACAAGACTGGTTAATTTTAAGTTCACATCTTTATTGAATTGTCTATAAAATAAGGTTTAAGCGGAAACGGTACCCTTTGTTATACCTTTAAAAATACCGGTCACCCTTTGTCCAACACGTAGCGTGTTATGTACATTGTCAAATTCCTTGACTTTGATATTCGGTTAAACATTACTAGCTAGCAAAGACCCTCAGCTCTGAGCTCATAAATTTATCCGATGGATAAATCAATTTTCTACAGCACTAGCAAGCTTTAATACTCTTTTTATCGGATTTGATTGTAAAATAAGTAAGAAGTCTTTACTAAATTAAATTCTTTGCACAGTAAGTACACGCTAACTACATATTTTCTACATATTATACATATTATATTGCTACAACAGCGACGCCTGAAGAGGAAATGTGTGATTCAACCATTTTTGCCCGTTGTTTTTCATATATGCCCCATGGAAGCGCCAGGGTGAAAAACCTCCGGTATCCACTTTTCAAACTGCTTTTTTCCGACATTTTTGAAAAAATTGAGATTTTCATGGCAAACGATCAGTAATTTAGTGCTGACCACGAATTAGTATTCGATATGGGTTGGGACAGGTTTCTAAATGGTGCATTGGACAAGAGGGTGAGACCATGTTTAAACTTTGCAGGGTGTGTGAGCTAGACATGGTGGCAAGACAATCAGTCTGACCTCGAACTTAGCGATAAAATATACGGTCTAACCCTCAGAAATATACCGAAATATACCTCACGTGAAAAAAGCCAAACACATTTAAAAAAAAATTCAGAATTCCCGCTTCCCGCAATTCAATTGACCCAGTTGGCTCAAAAAACGCCAGATAGAAAAAAAAGTGAAACCGACAGCCCTGAATATCACCCATATCGATATATCGATATAATATTAACAATCTGGGCAATTCAAAAGATCTATGTTTTGCTTAAAAATCACAAGCCGCAATATATCGTCGCCTAAATTCGTATGTCTTCAAATTCTATGGAATTGCCATGGCCCATGTCATACCGTTGTGGGTAGTTATTTCACCGCCCTTCGCGTGGGGGGCCGCTCCAGCTGAGACCGTAAGTGTGTTTATGTTCCGCTCTGCGTGTGTGCGTGTAGATATTTGTGTGCGAGCTGCTGATAACGCGATCAGGCAACGCGCGGTGACGCCTTGATTCGGTTCTTATTTCTTTGTGAAAATCAGAAGCAGAGCAAGGAATGGCTAACAAATCCGTGCCAGCGAAGAAAGTACTCAACTCATTCCAGCCAGCTATCACCAGCGACATGGTCAACAAATTGCAGCTGACGCCTGAGCCCGGGGCGAAGGTAATTCGGGCCCACGGCCCCCTTCCATAAACCGGACATAACCTTGACACTCGGCCTTTTAAATTCAAGATTTCGGGGCTTCAAGATGGAAGCGTGGCTGCGTGGCGGTCCCCCCAGCTGATGATCGTCTTCGAGGACGGCGATTTGCACTCCGCCCGGCAGCACCTGCTCGACTCACTGCAAAACCCGTTCGCGGAGGGAGCCGTGGCCACGGTGCTGGTGCAGGAGAGCGTGCGGGATCAGTTTGTGGGTCTGGTGGCACAGAACCTCAAGCGACTGGAGTCACAGGTGGCCAGCCATCCCAGCTACATCCGCACCCTGGCCCAGATCGAGCTGCTCAAGGCAAATGTGATCAAAGCTAATGGAGATGTCGATGTCCCAGCCAATGCATCGCCTCTGCTGGTGTCAGACTTTATAAGCAGCTATCTTGGGCAGCAGGGCCCTACTGGTGCCATCACCCTGCACACCTTCCGCACTGCGCGCGAGGCCACGCAAGTGAATCTGAAGGAGTCGGTACCCTACACCCGGGTCAGCATTTGGAACGAGAAGCTGGCTTGTGCTTACGAGGTGCTCGGCCACCTGGCCGTCGACATCTTCACGATCAACTGTTTTAACCCGGACCTCAGCCCCATCCGACAGGCGTTCGTGGACAACCGAAACGATGTTTGCCTGGTCAAGGGCTATCACTACGAGACGCTGACAATAAACTCTAAGCGCCGGATCATAGTCTTCCCGGTGGGCACCATGTTTGCCAACTAATTTGGATCTGCAGTTGGACTTGGAGCCGACTCCTATTCCTCAAGGTGTTTGATTAATTATGCCATATGTTCCCCTTTTGTAACTGTTTTTTATACTAATAATTGTTCAATACACGCGTTGCATGACCGAACCTTTGCCATCTGGGGAACGTATCGTACGTTAGGTCAGGGATACTATACTTCTCATGGAAGAGGTATGCAACAGGCCATTCCTTGGGCATGCGTAGAAGTTGTCTAAATCAAGGAAAAACAGTGCAATACATATGCAGGTACACGTGTATGTACCACTAATCCATCATCGCCTGGAAAATATTTCTCATCCCTGTTTCGGTTGTAGTTAAGGCGGAGCAGAGGGTTATTCTCTCTGTTGGGCTTACTCAAAATTTCCCTTTTGTTTCGGCTATCTTTAAATTAAATATTTCTATACAAATTGTATATTCCAGTGCAAGTAAATACACCATATCTCCCCTTTGCATGGGTGTGTGTGAGGGTGCGCGCGTGAGTGAGCGAGTGGGAAGTACATTGACTGTAACTAAACAAAGATATTGTACTTTACAACAGTGTTTAAAGTGCGCCGTTCGCAACCTCTCTCTTTCCTGCCCTTTCTTACACCAACTCTGGGTGACGTAGTGCTGCTGCTCTACTTTCACACTCTGTGCCGCGGAGTACGTACGCTCCAAAAGCAGCGCTGAGAGAGAGAGCGCCACAGCAGTCGGAGCGAATTAGAGAGAGAGTAGCGTCATTAGAAGAGAGAGCGACTGCTTCATGGGTTAGACGCGACTGCTTCGATTGTTCGCTCGACCGTTTGTGGCCACTTTTGTTTGGGTTTTGCTTTGGCAGTTGCTGTTGCTGCCGCTTCAGCTGTTGAAGGTGTCTGTCTGCTCGCAGTGCTGTTGGCCCCACTCCACTCCGCTCCGCCTCTAAATTAATTCCCGTTCTTCCGCAAAAATAAAACAAAAAGAAAGAGAAAATGAGCTGGCAATTGCACAAGCTCCAAAACTAAGCAGTAGAAACATCAGCCACGACAACGAGACAGCAAAAACCGCAGCAGCAGCTGTAGCATAAGCAGTAGAAGCATCAGCAGCAGCCCCAGAGAGAAACAGAAGCACTGAAGACAACAATTTGCCACGACGATGCCGCCGCACAAGTGGACGGACGAGACGCGGGACGCCTCCTGCTACTACGGGGACGGTGATGATGCTGCCAACAGGCGGCACCACTCCTCCTCCTCCCTCGACGACGACGACGACGATGATGATGCAGATGACGAGCAGGAGGCGTTCTGCGCTGGCGACAGGCCGCTCATTAGGGGCGGCAGCAGTGGCGTTGGCGGGGCGGCCGCAGCGGGAGGTAAGTAGATAAGGCCTGGTACTAGATAAAATGCTCTAACCAATCTCCCCCCACCACCATTGACCGTATAGTTGAGGGAAGTGACGGCTGCGGCCTGAAGACACGCCACATTTTCGGCCTGATGGGATTCCTGGGCTTCGCCGTGGTCTATGCCATGCGGGTAAACCTGTCGGTGGCCATTGTGGCCATGGTCAACCAAACGGCCATTCCGCACAGCAACGGGTCCGTGGTGGACGATGACACCTGCCCCATGCCGGAGCCGGGGCGCAACGACAGCGGCCACCGGATGCCCGAGGGCGAGTTCGTCTGGGACGAGGCCACCCAAGGTCTGGTGCTGGGGAGCTTCTTCTACGGCTACGTGCTCACCCAGGTTCCGGGCGGCCGCATGGCCGAACTAATTGGCGGAAAACTGATCTACGGCTACGGAGTGCTGGTCACGGCCATCTTCACGCTCCTCACGCCTCTGGCTGCGCGCTGGGACCTTCCGCTGCTCATCCTGGTGCGTATACTCGAGGGCATGGGCGAGGGCGTCACATATCCGGCCATGCACGCGATGCTGGCCCACTGGATACCGCCGTTGGAGCGCAACAAGTTCGCAGCAATCGTTTATGCTGGCTCCAACATCGGCACTGTGATCTCCATGCCCCTGGCTGGATGGCTATGCTCGCTGGACTTCCTCGGCGGCTGGCCCTCGGCGTTCTACATCTTTGGACTGCTGGGCATCCTGTGGTTCGGCTGCTGGATGTACCTGGTGTACGACAGGCCCAGCATGCATCCGCGCATCTCCCTCAAGGAGCGGGAGTACATCGAGAGGAGTCTTCGCACTCAGTCCCTGATCAGCCAGGATGACGAGGAGGAAGAGGAGGAGGGCGAAGAGAATGGAGAAGGCGTTCGGCTGCGACATGGGGAGGATGACAATATACCCTGGCGCTCGCTGTTCACTTCGGTGCCGTTGTGGGCCATCCTGCTGACGCAGTGCGGCCAGGGCTGGGCCTTTTACACGCAACTGACGGAATTGCCCACCTATATGAGCAACATCCTGCACTTTGACATCCAGTCGAATGCCCTGCTCAACGCCGTGCCCTACCTCACGGCCTGGTTTGTGGGTATCGCCTGCTCTGCCCTGGCCGACTGGATGCTGGCCAGGCGCTACATTTCGCTGCTCAACTCCTACAAGCTGTGGAACACGGTGGCCTCCGTGGTGCCGTCATTGGGCCTGATCGGCATCATTTACGTGGGCTGCGACTGGGTATGGGTCACCTTCATGCTGGCGGGCGTTGGCTCCTTCGGCGGCGCCGTCTACGCCGGCAACCAGATGAACCACATTGCTTTGAGTCCCCGCTATGCGGGTACCATGTACGGCATCACGAATTCGGCGGCCAACATCTGCGGCTTCTTGGCTCCCTACGTAATCGGGTTGATCATCAACCACCGCGAGACCCTCACCCAGTGGCACATTGTCTTCTGGCTGGCAGCGGGTCTGAATATCGGCGGCAACTTTATCTACCTAATCTTTGCCAGTGCCGAGGAGCAAAGCTGGTCGCGAGCTGGTCGTCGCAGCAATTCGGGCACGGGCTCGAGGGCACCCCTGCGCACCTAGCGAGAATTTCGGCGCCAGGGGGAGCGCCATGTACCTAAAGAAAGCGTCGCTATACAGTTAGAGAATAAGCATGTGTGATAATTGCAATCCTAGGCAGAAGATATTGATATATATATATATATACATATATGTGTGTGTAGTTATAGGACAGTATTGACGTAGCTTCCAGAAGAAACCGAAAACTCTAGTGCTACCAGGAGGAGGGAGCATCGGGAGCAACCTCCTCCATCTCCTTCTTGATGTTAACTGTTTTAGTAGATACGTATATACATTTATTGTATTCGGTGTATCGTTTTATATGGACTTTGTTTTGCTAGGCGTCTTTTTTTGTATACATATGCAACAAGTATCATATACATACATATATACTAATGATATCTTCGATATATACAATCCGGACGGACAATGATAAGTTGGGTTCTCAGCCTCGGGTTTAGCCTGGGACACATACTAAATGTACGAGTATACATACATACATACATTATAGCTTTAGAATGAAATTGTACACATCCTATACACAACATACATACCAAGTATAGAACTAGTTCGAAATAAGGATAGACGTTTACACAGTACATGCATACATAAATCATCATTATGATAGATATGCCTAGTACCTAAGTCTGTGACGAATAGATAAATGGATGTTGCTGTCAGAATAAACTGCACAAACATATCGAAGAGAATGTGGAATTCTGGAAAAATACTGCGGCTTTTACGCATCAGAATAACGTTTCGTGGAAATATGCATATGTAATCACCAAGGGCGTACCCTGGATTTCTCGAAGAGGGGGCCTCGCAGCTGGCTTGCCGCCAATTCGATACAAAAAAACATACTAGAGCATTACGTATTACTGGTATATATTGCTGGTCTCTCTCTCTTCAATCCTGTGTGCACTCAGCATGCAGAATCATGTGCAGAAAAAATGTAAATGGTATTACTTGTATTAATGAAGAATATTTGTATTACCATTCAGACATGATTCAGTCGTAGTTCAGAGCCAAGTTTTCGCTCTACTACACGTATTGCTCTCTGGTAACACATTGGCACGATGTAAAAGGATGGATTTTATCTATTTGATTGCTTTTAAATAATTCATGGCGTAGTAATTTCAATCGAAACGCTTCTTGCGCCCTAAGTGGATTCTATGAATTTCATTAAAAATTGCACCAGCAGCATATACCTATTTACCAATTGTATATGTTAAACGTTCTGATTTCCTTCGCTATTGAAACGGTGTTTCAAATTTCTGACTTAATTTTAAGTCACTTCTGACCAAAGACTTTCAAAGTGAAAATATAGGCTTTTCGGACATTTTTGAATGCCTTCAGTTTTAAGAGGACTGATATTTAACTTTTTGGCCACTTATCCCTATCAATAGCCAATGATCATGCTGTGATGCTGTGAGAGAAATAATTGAGCAAATCGTCGTACCGTGAGATTGAGGCATCGTTGTACATTCGTATGACGTCCATCAATAATAATTTCCATGATCGACTCGCTTTTTTTTGGAATCGTTCAAAACGAGGCTCGTATCGATTGGTGTCAGAAACTACAAAAGCCGTGTTTAATATCTACACAGGATTAGAATCATGGATTTAATATATGAATTTGACTCCGAAACAAGACAGTAACCGACGGTATGGGGGTTTTAATGCCACAAAAGTTTTCCCCACGAACCATTTCAAATCAACTCGGTCGTCGGTTTGTTCGAAAGCTGGTCATAGCGACCCTTGGGATAACCAAGACCAAGACGAACAAAAGACCTACCATTCGATGGGCTTTCCAAGCGAATATTACTGATCAGCGCTCAATAAGAAACAACCCTTATCAGCGAGCCTAGAGTCGGGCAGCTGTGTATTTTGTTTATGCATTCTCTGCACCACGCAGATAAATCTCCGAAGAAATTGCAGAAGATATGGCCCTCAACGCAGAGGAATTCATTTGTTCAAGTGTTAACATATAAAGATGATTATTATTACAATACCTTGTGGCACTTGAGCCAGTTATTGATATTTTGTACCAACTAGAAGGATTATGTGGAAGCTTTTAATGAAGCTCTTCTTATTTCCCAAATCCTGTTGAGCACCCCAAATGTTGAGATATCCTCCTATAGAGTGCAGGGCATTCATATTTTGTAGGTTGTGCTCCGATGTTTTCTGCTCCATTTAACACCATCT